ATGCCCAAATGTCTTTGTCGCTTCATGGAGACGGAAGAAAAGCTAAATGTTTCCCCAAATAACTTTGACGTTGCTGGGATATCTATTGATATCTATCTTCTAGCAACTTCAAAATCAATTGACTAAATATAGAGTTAAGGTTCTGAAAAAAAATCAAGATGGCAGAGGAGTGAATGGAAGTCATACTGATCTTGTCCCAGGACCAATCTGGAATTACAACGAAATCGTGGAGAAACCATCTGGAACAAACAACTGGACAACAGTGAGAGAGGAGCCTTATAACCTCACACAGACAGAAGAATTAGCTTCAGCATAACCTGACTGGTAAGGAGTACAGCAGAGACACAAGAAGGCTGGTGGGGTACCCACAGGCGGCAGCACCAGAAGGATATTGAAACAGCCCGTTGGATCCCCCTGAGAAGAGTGGGGTCTAAGCCATAAGTGGGGATCTCCAGACTACAGCTTCAGAGCCCAAGATGTACACAGATAACAGCCAGCTGCAAAAAGCAGCAGGGTTGCTCTCTGCCAGAGACAGGCGGCTAGAGATGCAAAGAGCAGTTTAAAGGGCTAACGCATACATTTTTATTTGCAGCCGCTTACCCTGGTCTCTGGCAAAGGCGAGGGCAGATGAGCTGGAGACACCTGAGGAGAAAATGGGGAAGGAGGCTTTGGGGAGACAATTGAGAGAGTAACCGGCGGGATCCCCGTGCTGAGTCATCCTCCATATGGCAGCAGCCATCTTGCTCAGGCAGACCATGCCCCTGAGTGGTAACAGCATGAGAGGACACACTAGCCCCGCCCCCAGGAGGAACTCTGCCTGGGCTGGTGGTGCTAAAGCCTGACTGCTGAGTACAGAGTGGCAGTCACAGATAGTAGATCACTGGCTAAAGTGGGCGCAGAGTGGTCTAGAGACATTTGAGGAGAGACTGGAGATGGAGGCTTTGGGGAGAGAATGGAGAGAGTAGCCGGCGGGATCCCGGTGCCGACTCCTCCCCCATACCACAGCAGCCATTTGGCTCAGGCAGAGACCACTCCCCTGAGCGGCATCTGTGTGAGAGGACCCAATAACCCCACTCCCAGTAGGGACTCTGCCCCCAACCCTGATGTCTAAGCCTGATTGCTGACTCGGGTGACTAGATTAACAGCTGAAGGAGACAGCCACAGACAGTAGATTTCTGGAAGTCTCGAACAGACTGCCTAAGGTCAGACAGGGTCAACATCTGACATCATCAGAGGCAGAGCCAGAAAATAAAAACAGCAGTCTCCTACCATAGAACTTCACACCACAAAGTCAGGAAATCAAGATAGATCAATTGAAGAAGCATAAGCAAAAAAGCGGAGTCTCACAAATAATGGGAAGACAAAGAAACACTCCCCAGTCGAAGAGAAAGGAGAAATCCCCAAAAAGAGAACTGTATGAAATAAAGGCAAATAAACTATCAGATAGTGAGTTCAAAACTACAGTTCTAAGGAAGCTCTATGAGCTCAGTGAGCTCAGAGAGAATTACAAAAATCTACAGGGAAACTATGAGGAACTCACTGCAAACCATATTAGCATGAAAAAGATCATAGAAACTATCAGTAAGAGACAAGAGGAAATGAAGAATACAATTTCTTAATTGAAGAACACAGTAGAAGGAATCAAAAGAAGGCTAGATGAAGCAGAGGAATGAATCAGTGAGCTGGAGGATGAGGTAGGAAAAAACTCTCAGAAAGAGCAAGAAAATGAAAAAAAACTCAAAAAGAATGAAGAGGCATTTAGGGAAATGCAGGTCAACCTGAAACATAGTAATATCCATATAACTAGGAATACCAGAAGGAGAAGAGGAGGAAGGGATAGAGAACCTGTTTGAAAAAAGTAATGATGGAAAACTTCCCTAATTGGAGGAGGGAAAAAGTCACACAAGTCCAGGAAGCTCAGAGGATCCCATTCAAGAGGAGCCCAGTGAGGCCCACTCCAAGACACATCCTAATTAAAATGGCAAATATCAAAGACAAACAGAGAATCCTAAAGGCAGCAAGAGAGAAAGAGGTAGCAACATATAAGGGAGCCCTGGTATGACTGGCAGCTGACTTCTCAACAGAAACACTGCAAGCCAGAAGGGAGGGGCAAGAAATATTCCTGGTCATGAGAAGCAAAGGCCTGCAACCAAGACTGCTCTACCCAGCAAGGCTCTCCATTAAAATGGAGGGTGAAATACGGAGTTTCCCTGACAAAAGAAGGCTAAAAGAGTACACCTCCACCAAACCAGGACTGGAAAACATGCTAAAGGGACTCCTTTAAGAAGATGAGGAAAAAGAGTCTGTGAATACCCTGTTCCTTTCACAGTCACCAATACTTGATATTACCAATATTTTTAATACTTATTAATCTGATTGTGACAATAACGTTAAGTGTTACTTCATTATTTGTTGAAACTAAACCTGTTTTTTGTATATTCCTTGCTTATTTTTATTATTTTAAAAAAGCTTTAAAGGACTTTTTGGTATTCTTTATCCATTTTTTGATTAAATGGTTGTAGAATTTTTTCCCTAAAAAAACCCTATTAACCCTTTTTTAGATGTGTTGCAAATACTTTCCTGTTCTATTACTTGTCCTTTAACAGTTTTATATGTATGTTTCTGTATAGTCTTAAATGTTTAATATAGTCATATTGTCAATATTTCACTTCATAGCTTCTGGGTTTGAATATTTTACTTCAGGGTATGAAAAATATTATTTTGTATTTTCTCCTGAAACTCCTTAGATTCTACATATTGATTTTTAACTCACCTGAATATTTCTTGTATAATGTGTGAAATAGGGCTCTATATTTGTTTTCTTTTTCAAGTAATAGTGGTTCATACACCTTATTGGTTGAATAGTCCTTATTTTCTCCATTGATTTCAAATAGCAACTTAATCATATATTACATTGTTAGACACATACGTTTGTTTCTAGAATGCTCATTTTATTTCATTGATCTACTTGATTATTTCTGTGTGGTGTCATGTTGTTTTAACTGCTGAGACTTTACAACGATTTAAATTTTTTAATATTTTTATAATGGACTTTGGCATTTAAAAAAATAAATAAATAAAGTCAATCTGCATTAAAAAAAAAAAGAAGAAGGAAGGAAGGACTGCCTACATTTTGCGACGACATGGATGGAACTGGAGACTATTATGCTCAGTGAAATAAGCCAGTTGGTGAAAGACAAATGCCATATGATCTCACCTATAAGTGCACTCTATTCAACAAAATAAACTAATGAACAAAATAAACCACAAGCGTGGAAACTTGGAGCAGAATGAAAGGGACCAGAGGGGAGGGGGAAAGAGGACAAGGGTGGAAAGAAGGGGAAGGGACCAGACAAAGAACGTGTATGAATGACCCCTGGACACGGACCACGGAGTGGGAATGGACTGTGGGAGCCGCGGGTGGGCGTGGGGCGGGGGCTGGGGGGACGGGGGGACAGGGGGGGAATTGAGACGACTGTAATAGAATAAACATGATTTAAAATAAAAAATAAAAATAAAAAGGGCCCTGTGTATGAGGCGTGTGCATGCGTACATTGCGTTTATGCGTGTAGCCATGTGTTCTATCTACGGTGCGCGCGCGCATCTCGCGCCACCGGGCCGCGGGCAGGGCTGACCGCTCCAGAGCGGCCCGCGGGGTCAGCCGCTGCAAGGAGCCGTTTCACCCTGCCCTCACCCTGCCGTAACAACGGGGGACGCTACGAATGCGACACCCTTTCTTTGTGGCTTTTTGTGTGTTGCGCGGGGGAGGGGGGCAGGGGGCGGTTAGTCTAACGCTCTAGACCTTCCCAGGGAGCAGGAGGCGAGCGCCTGCAAACGACGCCGCCTCCCCTGTCGCATCTGGGAGCCGCCGGGCGCCCCCGCGGGACTCCCGCCGCCCCGGCCTCCGCAGCCCTGGCTCCGGGTTTGTCATCCCTGGTTCCGCCGCCCTCGTGCTGACGGTCCAAGTCGGGCACGTCCCAGAGCGCCGTCCAGGGTCCAGGCCCGGCCGTTTAGGGTCGGAGGGCGCCAGGCCCGCGGAGCCTCTCGCGTCAGGGCGCGGTCGGGTCCTTGGGGTCCTGGCCGGTGTGGCGTCTTTTTCGGGAAGCGGTTCGCCTTTTTGGCTCCCTGCTGTCCCTCGCAGGGACGCCCTCTTCCAGTGACCCGTTCCTGCCGTCGCCGCCCGCCGAGCGTGCGTCCCATCCACGGACCACCGACCTGCTCACGAACACAGGACGGGGTTGGTTCTCAAAGAAGCAGAAAATTGGTTTCTGGTCGAATGGGGAGGAACATTTCTCCTTTGTTAAAAAAAAAAAAAAAGAGTATTGCTTTTTTCTGATCTAGAAGAAGTACTTGCTCATTGAAGAAAACTTGAAAATAGAGAAAGGTTTAAGAAAAAGTAAAAACTACCCAAATTCTGCAACCCAGAGATTTCTGGTGCCAGCCTGTGTCAGTCCTCAAGTCCCCTCCGCGCCGCAAGCGTACACGCAGCCGTGGGCGGCGCAGTGAGACAGCGTTTCACGTCGAACCTCCTGGTCCATGTGCTTTCACGTCGCGCTCTCAGTGTGCACTGTGGGGGTGCCCATCTCAGTGTCAGCCGCTTACAGGGGCGCAGCGGGAGGAGGGAGGGCAGAGCAAGGCCAGCAGTGCCAAGGGACCCGAGAAGGGGCTGCCCTCAGGCTGCAGGGCAGTCCGTGGGCTGAAGACGAGCCTGAGCCCCGCCCCCGCTGGCCCCCCTCGGGCAGCGCGGTCGGGGGCCAGGCGCTGGGCTGGAGGGGTCTGGGGATGACAGAGGGGAGGGGGGTGGGGGCCAGGGGGCCGGGGAGGGGGGCGAGCGACCCGGGGAGACCCAGGAGCAGGGTCCAGCCCCCGGCCCCGCCCCCGGCCTCATAAGCGGGTCTGTAGGGTGAGACGTCCCTTCTCCCGGCCCTGGTGGCCGAGGACACCTCGGGGACACTCGCTCTGCCGCTGGCTGCATTCGAGCCGCGGACCCTCTCTCACAGGCATCGACTACAAGACCACCACCATCCTGCTGGACGGGCGGCGGGTGAAGCTGCAGCTCTGGTGAGTCAGGGCCCCACCCCTTCCCGACCCCAGCGGGCGGGCCCTCCAGCTCGACCTTCCCGAAGGCCCTCCCGGGCCTGGCCTGGCCTGGCCTGGCCTGGAGGAGTGGGCGATCCTGTGGTCTAGGCTTTGGTCCTGGCCGAGAGGGGGCCCCACCATCTAAATACTGGGCTCTCAGCTCCCAATTCTGTGCCTCGCCTGGCTGGTCCATCTTGGTAAATGCCTGCACAGCCCCCCATGGCTCTGGCCGGACCCTGGGGCCCTCCTGGGGACCCACATGGGGCCGCGACCAGGAGGTGCCGAGGACAGGGCCTGGCACAGGAGGCGAGGCGAATCGTGCAGGAGCCCGCTCCCCTCCCACAGCAGCCCCGCCGCCCCGGGGCACAGCTGGACACCCGCCTCCAGGGCCGCGCTCCTTGCCCACAGCTTCCTAGCAGCTCCCACCTGTGGGCCAGGCCTCGGTTCCTGAGGTTCTGCTCAGGCACCTCGGCACTCGAGGCGTTTCGCCCAGCCGCTGGCCTCTCCCGAGCCCCAGGCCCTGCTCTCCTGAGCCTGGCCGGTGGACCCCAAAGCCCGGCCGTCGGGGCCCCGTACGTGGCCAGGAGCCGCGGTGTGCCTGGCCATGGTCGGGTGGGTTGACGGGCGGTGACCGGGCTGCTGCCTGCCTGAGTCTGGGGGGCCCGTCACCCACGGGGGGCAAGAAGATAGCAGGTGTGTCGTCACGCACGCTGTCATGTGGGAGGACCCCTCGGGCATGCAGGGTCCTGAGGAGTCCCCTGTTGAAATGGGTGTTAATTGCACACGCAGATGTGTGTCTTTGTTGTCCTCAGAGGAAGTGCCGGCCAACGGCGTCCGCTGGTCCTAAGAGCTCGGGGACGCCGTTGTTCCTTGTCCTGGCTTCTGTCTCTTGGAGCTCGGTGCTGTCTTTCCGGGCACTGGCTCCCCGGGTCAGCTCGCCATGTGGACAAACTCAGGGCGTCTCTGTGGGCTTTAGGTGATTCCTCCAGAGTTAATGGAAGTCGAGGGACCCCGCCAAGTCCTTCAGCCTGTCCCCGCATGTGGACTGACCTCCATTACGACATAGCTTTCTCTTCAAATTCCACACAGTTTTAGAAACTTACATCAGATTTATTTAGATGTCAGAATTATGGTGTTGAAACCCACCTCTGTGTTTTCTGTTTAACTCACACAATGACAGCAAGACGAGAATGAGCCCCGAAGGGCATCCCGACATCCAGCTCCCTCCAGGGGACCAGGTGACCGGTGGGCCCTGACGTCTGGTGGCACGGCCGCCCGCCGACGGCCGTCCCAGACCGGTCACCTCGCTGTCAGGAGGAAGTGGCAGGGTCTCACCTGTCTCCCACGCCTTTCCCTTCCAGGGACACGTCTGGGCAGGGGAGGTTCTGCACCATATTCCGCTCCTACTCGCGGGGCGCACAGGTAACACCCTGAGCAGGGCGGTCATGCCACGGTCGGTGCCCTTGAGTGGACAGGGGGTGAGCCCTCAGTGGGAAGCGATGCTGGAGTCGGAAAGTGCGCTGCGGCCTCTCGGCGGCCCACGGCCCGTGTCGGCGCCGCGGCTGCACGTCTGCACGCACGTGCGGGCATGTCTGTGTGCTGTGCTGCTACACGCATGTGCATGCATATGAAGTATGAGCGTGTACACAAGTGTGTATTTGTGTGCGTGTGTGCCTCGTTCTACGCACGTGCGTCCGTGCATGTGTGTATAGATGTGCTTGGGTGTACCGGTGTTGCACACCTGTGTTTGCATGCATGTGTGTGCGTGTGTTTATGGTCACATGCTCGCCCTGAGTCCATGATCCCGTGAGTGTCTCTGTGTGCCCCTGAGTGCCCACCCCGGGGGTGGGCTCTGCTCCCCCTGAGCTGCTGACCCTGACATCCCCCCCAGGCTCTGTGTCCCTGGAGCAGCTCATGGACGTGGGAAGTGAGTTCTACTCCCCGAGTCACTTTGAGATTTGAGGGCTTCTCAATGGGCTTATGAGATAATGGAAATAATCACACAACTGCTACATGTGGTCGATAAAGTCTTGTGTTAGAGGAAGGACAACGGTTGTGCAGCCGGTTGCGCGTCTGTTACTGGGCAGCCCTCCCGCGGCTGCGCAGCCCAGACCTGTGCCGGCCTCGGCTGCCTGCTCAGCCTGGCGCCTCTCCCCAGGGTGTGATCTTGGTCTACGACATCGCAAACCGCTGGTCCTTCGACGGCATCGACCGCTGGATTAAGGAGATCGATGAGGTGCGGCTCGCGCGCTGGGGCCCCCTCCGTGTGAGCTTGAGGGTGTCGGGCCCGGGCTCGAGGCTCCAACAGCAGGGGCGGCGTCACTTCCCAGCACAGCGCCGGGCCCTGGCCGGTGGACCCCAAAGCCCGGCCGTCGGGGCCCCGTACGTGGCCAGGAGCCGCGGTGTGCCTGGCCATGGTCGGGTGGGTTGACGGGCGGTGACCAGGCTGCTGCCTGTCTGCACGCAGACCGGCCCAACAGCCAGTGGGGACGTGGCGTGGCCGGGACCAAAGCCACTGTATAGTTTCTAGCAGCTGCTGCAACAAATTCCATAAACCAGGCGGCTTAAGAAGCACATTTATTTTCTTACCTTTTCGAGGCCACAAGTCCGAAATCAAGGTGTCAGCAGGGCCTCGTTCCCTCCTAAAGTCCTAGAGGAGAGTCCCCCCCACCTCTTTCGGCTCCTGGTGGCTGCCGACAGCCCCTGGTGCCCTCGGCATGTAGACGCATCACTGTCTCTGCCTCTGTGGCCACTTGGCCGTCTTCTCTGTGTCCCCTTCTCTTCCTGTGAGGACACAGGTGACTGGATTTATGGCTGACTCCACTGGCCTCACCTTAAGTCATTCCATCTGTAAAGGTCCTATTTCCAAATAAGGGCACATCAAGTTCTAGGTCGGCGTAAATGTGGGGGCGTGCCGTCCCCCCAGCACGCCCACGGCACCAACAGCAGAAGCTCTCGCAGGTAACCCGTCCTCCCTGCCTTTCTCTCCACCGTCAGCACGCTCCTGGCGTCCCTAAAATCCTGGTGGGAAACCGCCTGCACCTGGCCTTCAAGCGGCAAGTCCCCACGGAGCAGGCCCAGGCCTACGCGGAGCGCCTGGGCGTGACCTTCTTCGAGGTCAGCCCTCTGTGCAATTTCAACATCACCGAGTCCTTCACGGAGCTGGCCAGGATCGTGCTGCTGCGGCACGGGATGGACCGGCTCTGGAGGCCGAGCAAGGGTAGGTGCCGGGCGGACCCGCGGCCCGGGCTGCCGGCCAGCCTCCCCGGGGCCACCTCGGGCCGCTGCTTCCATTCTCAAGGACCCGATGCGTCCCCTTAGGGAAGAGCATGCTCACTGCTCCGGCGTGAGCTCAGGAGAGGCTTCAGACATCTTCACGTGGGCAGAGGGGAAGGCATTTGTAACCAGGCGGCCGCTAGTGTCCTTGAGGAGGCAGGACCCCGAGCCTGTAGAGACAGACCCTGGGGGCAGCACGTGAGGCCTCGGCAGCCACGGGAGCTCCAGGCCCCTGGCTTCAGGGAGAGCCCGTTTCCTTAGGAATGAGAGGAACACGAGAAATAGAAGTGCACCGGGTATTTTTAATGGGATGTAACCGGCAGTTGGAGCGTAATATCCAAATCCCTCCGTGCTGAAGTGTGGAAGCCTCCTGCGGCGGAGCGGCGGCTGCTGCTTCCGTCCGAGTAACTGGTCAGCGTGTTACTTTTAAAGGACAAAGGTGACAAAATCTATATTCGTTGGATGGGCAGCACAGTGTTGACTGAGCAAAATGCCTTCTTCTAAGCCAGGCCCCCCGAGCTGCCCTCACCGGACACCGCCACCGGGCAGGCCAGCCCTCCCCGCCGCGGGGCGCTGAGCACCACGCCTGGGTCCCCCCGCCCCGCAGTGAAAACCTCGGCATCTCCGGACGCGGCCACTGCCTGGGGATCCCCAGTCACCCCCAGTTGAAAACCACTTTCTGAAGGCTTTTAAGGATAAGCCAGACCCCGGGGGTCGTGTTCCTTCTCTGAGTCTTTCGGGGTTGGTGGCGTGGAGGCCACAGAGGGGCGAGGAGCAGGTTCCGCCCCCTCGGCAGGTCCCCGGGAGCCCCTGCCCCCTTCTGAGCGGGGACCGGCTGCACGCGTGCGGCGGAGAGCCCTTCTGAAGCGCCTCCTGCAGCCCGTGGCCTCTAACCCCCAGGCGCGGCCCTGTGCATTCCGAGGAGGCCTCCCACGGCGCCCCTCTCCCCCCAGGTCTGCTCATCTCTCAGACCAGCAGGGAGCGATGCGGGCTCTCAGTTTCGGGGGTAGACTGACTTCAGGGCTATGAGAGCAGAGGGTCCCCTCGGAGCCCTGCCAGAGGCCGCGCGTGGGCGTGGGGGAGCGTCTGCTCTCGTTCTCAGGGTCCACCTGCCCCAGAGCTGCGGGAACGGGGCGGGGGCAGAGGACAGGTGGGTGGCGGCAGGGACGGCAGAGACTAAGCGACGTTTTCTTTTCTCTCCCAAGTGCTGAGCCTGCAGGACCTGTGCTGCCGCGCGGTGGTGTCCTGCACGCCCGTGCACCTGGTGGACAAGCTCCCGCTCCCCATGGCCTTGAGGAGCCACCTCAAGTCCTTCTCCATGGCCAACGGCCTGAATGCCAGGATGATGCACGGCCGCTCCTACTCCCTCACCGCCAGCTCCGTCCACAAGAGGAGCAGCCTCCGCAAGGGCAAGGCCGCGCGGCCGCCCCAGAGCCCGCCCAAGCGCTGCACCAGAAACAGCTGTAAAGTCTCCTAAGGAAAGCTCGGGAAAGGCACACGCGGACCCTCCAGGAGACCCTAAGCCGCCACACGGGGCTGGCAGGCCCTTCGAGATCCCAGAGACACCGGCCGGCCCTGCATGGCGACCGTGCAATGAACACCGGTCCACGGTTTGACTTCGATGTTTCCGCGTGGATGTGCATGAAGCTGTGGTGTCAGACGTGTGTTTATAAACGGAACGCTGGTGCTCTGAGTGTCACTCACACCACGACTGCGCTGCGGCTTTTTCCTTGAAGTGACGGCTCGTGTGAGAATGGCGACGTGCGTGTGCTGAGTGTGAATCCGCGGACCCCAAGGGCAGCGCAGGCCAACGGGAGTCAGTGGTGGGGAGGGGCCTTTCCGTAAACCTGCTTTCTAACGTCCCAGCCTCATGTGTTAACGCTGCGGGCGCGCAGCTAATCTGTCCAGCTTCTGTACGAAAGGGGTTTGATAAAACTTTTGCAATGTCATTTACTACGTTTGGGGATTAATAAGTGGTTTATATGCATATTTTTCTGTAAATCTACATTTTTTGTATAAAATGTCCCACAAGTTATGAAGCTAAGAAAAGAAAATGCCAAAGACACCTCTAGTCACATTGCCGGAGCCAGGGCCAGAGCGTGCGGGCCGGGCGGAGGGCCAGGCCCTGTCACGGGCGGAAACGCCGCTCAGCAATGGAAAGTACGCCCGCCTCGCGGTGCCGCTGTTGGCGGGTCCCTTCCCGTTCTGTGTGTTTTACAGCCCTCTCCTGCGTCTGCTTCATCGCCGGTCTCAGGCGCCCCACGGTAGCACAAAACACAGCGTTGGCAACAGGCTTCGTTCCTAAACTGTGTCATCTATTGAAAAGGATTCCTTTTCATCAAAAGAAATGTAGAGGCAGAAAGTGGGGAATACAGTTAACAACATGGAGGTAGGGGTGCCAGCCTCCTGCGCAGTCGAAAATCTGCGTGCGACCGCAGTCGGCCCTCTGCACACGCGGGTCCCCAACCGTGGGGGTGACCCTTGAACAGCGCAGCCCAGCGGAAGCGGCACGCGATCCGCGCGGTCTGAGCCCGCGTCGTTCCAGGGCCACCTTGTGCTAAGGAGCGCCCGTCTGCAGACGCCGGCAGGTGCTCCACAGTCCGCCTGGTGGGCTCACAGGGGGCATGAGGCGTGCCCCCACCAGACGGGGTCCTCATCTGTGACCACAAGTGACCTAGAGAACCCCACAGGGTCTCCCGTGCCTGGTGTATCTGTTTGCTGTCTCTCCGTGGCAGCTGGAGGTTAGAAGGAAGGATTCAAAGAATAACCTGAGTTGAGAAAATGCCCAGGCGTCCTCAGTTTCTGCCAAGGATTTATAGATTTTTAGAAATTTAAGGGACCCTGGAATTGGAAGCAACACACCCTTCTTCAGAGAGCGAGGGGCCAAGGCCCAGGGAGGGGCAGGGAGCACGGCCACTGACGGCCTGAGCCGACAGCACAGAGACCAACGTCCGCAGGGGAGCGGGCGAGCGGACAGCAGAGGACAGCGCCTCTCGGGAGCCACTGGCTCATGGGGCCATCCTGCCAGGACCGTGCTAGGCTTCTCCGCTGGGCAGTGGACGGGGAGAGAGAAGGGCCACCCGCCGACCACGGACGCTGGGACGGGCAAGTGGGCGCCTCTGCCCCGTTTGTGGCCAGGAGAGACAGGGCGAGGTCCAGGTGGCGGGCACACGCCCGCAGCGCCTCTTGCCCCCTTGGAAGAGCCTGACTCTCAGAACCCACAGGCAGTGAAGGAGCGGGGCCCGTGGGCACTGGCAGCTGCTGGGGACGGTCCCTGGGCTGCGAGGCTGATCGGGGCCGAGCGGTTCTTCCCCCCTTTCCCTTTCCTTTTTGTTTTCTTCATTGAAGATGACCCCAGGATGACCCCGGCATCCTAGAAGGACTATGGGAAAGTTCCCGTGGCCTTTGTGACAGGTGCTCTCGTGGAGCACACAGAGGCCTCAGCCCTCTGCAGACAAGGCCACCAGGGGTCGCTGGGGGCTGGGGGAGGTGGCAGGGCCCCCCTCCACCCCGGGGCGACTCTGGAGGGCGCGAGGCCATGCCCACACCTGGACTTCGGACGCTGGCCTCCAGCGCCGAGCGAGGACAAATTTAGGGCGCTCATGACAAGTGCATCGATCGCACTTCACAGGAGAAAGTGCCTCAGCAAATCCAAGGGGCACTTGTGTGAAATGAAAGCAAGACACCCTGATGCAGAATGTGCTAAGTAGAAGCGTGCATGTTTTGGTGGTAAACAGGCAGAAAATATAATTAAAATGTAAACTGAACCCTAAAGCAAACGGCTCTCCTAACTTGTCATTTGTCATTTTCTCCCACGGCCCTCGCCGCAGGCAAAACGCACCCAAACTATAAACAGGCCGCCACAGTGTGTCCCAGATGTTTGTAATTCTCTTTTCAAGTGTCGAGACTCAAAATATGTACAATTATGTCTTCAATTGCCTCGTGAAAATTGCTGCAATGCAGAGTAATTTCCCAGACTGAGAGCTTACAGCAGTGAGGAATCATCTCGGCAAATATTGAATCTGGAAAAAATGTCAATTACAGGCTTGATAATATTTGTTTTCCCAAAAAGACAGAGACAGAGATGCTTCCGTTTGCAGGAGAGTAGCTTCCTCAAAGTGAATGGGAGAAGACCTGAAACCTGGGTAATTTTGTTAACCAGTGTCACCTCAATAAATTCAATAAAAAAGAAAAAGTAGAAGAAAAGCGAACGTGAGAACGAACAGAAGCTGCACGGGTTGGGGGAACTGGGAGGAGCTTTTCCAGGAAAGGACGGTGCGGTGCGCGGTGAGCAGGGGTGGACACCCGCCGCCCCCCCCCCCCCCGCCCCCGCGCTCCGCGCCTCCGTCACTGTTCACTCTCCCGACGCCGCGCCCGTTCCTGGGGCCTTTCCGACCGCAGGGCCCTGTTTCAAGGGGCCGAGCTGTGTTTCAAGGTGGCAGCACCTTGGATGAGGCCGAGTGAGGTCTCCGACGGGGACGGCTGTGCGGCAGGGGGCTCTGCCGTGCAGTGGGCAGGCGAGCACCCCGGCAGCTTCTCTGCGCAGCAGGCAGGTGGCTTACACTGTTCCCTGCCCTGGCGAGGGTCAGGCCCTCCGGGGAGCGGAGGCCGAGCTGTGTCCCGAGCTGGCCCTGCCTCTCTCCTCACTTAAGACCCTCCTTTCCAGCAGCGTAATCTCAGTCTCGGGTCAGAGCCTGGCTCCATTTGTTCCTGCTGTGATGGTCTGGGCCCTCCGTCTTCAGATCCTTGGATCCTCATACACCTATCTTCTCAAAAAAGGCTGGTTCCTGCCGATCCAAGTGTTGGCTTTTACGGTCATACTGCTGTCCTTTCCCTGCCTGACCGTGGACCTCCAGGGCAGGGGGCTGCTTCTCGCACTCTGCCTGGACTCGGAGACCGCTGAGCCTCAGTGGCGAGGAAGACGAGGCAAAAAGGAAGAGCTCCGAAGTCCGCCCTGCCCCCAGGCGGTCGCCGTTACCCTCGCCCCTCCCACGTAAGGCGGCCCAGAGGCGCCGCCAGCCAGAGACCTCTGGGACCCGCGACTCACTGCGGTGATGGAGACTTCCCGCCTTCAAGACACCTGGGGTGGGGGGGTGGGGGGGCACCTAGGAGGGTGCCGGGAAGGACCTGGTAAGGCTGTGTGAGGCGACAGAGGACTTCGCCGTGTGGGTGGAGTGTCCGGCTGGTCCCCTGGAGGCTATATACACGCCCCTGGCCTTGCACACAACACCTTTCATCTTCGTTTCCTTTCAACTCTTTAAACACCCCTGTAACAGACACAGACGCCTCACGGAGCAGCCCTGTGCGTAGGGGAGACCCCAGCCCAGAGCGCCCCTCGGCGTGTCCGTGTCCGGGAGGGCTCCCGGGAGCCTGCTCTCTAAGGCCTGCATTGTTAAAGCCTTAGCCGGTGTTCTTTGTCTTACAAAAAGGAAGTTGGGTTTGAACGTGGAAATATGTAATATGTAATGCCGGTACCAACACACCGGCTCAAACCCTAATGTGCCCCGCAGAGGTGAGAATGGGCCGCCCCGCTCCCAGGAAGGGGGTCAGGTGAGTCACGTTTCCCGTCTTTCTCCAGATGACGGGTTACCAATGGCCGTGTGATTTCCGGGAGGCTCCGGGCTCTGCCTGCCGGGGAGAGCCAGCGCCGCGGCTGCGGCTTCGAATCCCCCTCTGCTCCCCGCCCCTCCGCTCGGTGGACGGGCTGCCCTCGGGGTCTCCTCGCACCTGGCAGGTGTACGGCGTCCGCCCAGGCCCCGCCCACCGCCCAGGCCCCGCCCCACGCACGTGACGCTCTCCGCGCCCCTCCTCTCTCTGGCCTGGTGGACGCCTTCGGCGCTCGGCAGCTCCTTGGTTGCGCGCGCGCACGCACGCACGCACGCAGCACGTCCGCCGCTCGCTTCCGGCCGCGGCGGCCTCGGAGGCAGCCTGACGGGACCCGCGCCCGTCCTCCCGGAGCGGTATGCGGCGCTGACGAGCGGGGCCCTCTGCGTCGGCGCCATGAACCTCCTGCCGTGTAACCCGCACGGCAACGGGCTGCTCTACGCCGGCTTCAACCAGGACCACGGTGAGCGCGCCCTGCGCGCGCCCGGCCCCGCCCCCGGAGCCCCCCACACACCCGGGCCTCCCCGGGGTCTGCCCGACCCGGCTCCGCGCCCCGCCCTCACGCCCCCGTTCCCACCGCGAGCCGGGATGCGGGCCGGGGCCGCGGCGGGCCCCTCCTTCCGAGCCATGGCGACCCTCAGGGCGGCGGCTGCTGCCTGTCCGGCCGCCCCCTCCCGGGCGCGCTCTGCCCAGTGTCCCCGCCCAGGGTGGCCGGCGCGAGCCAGGCCGGACCCCGCTCTGGGCCGCGCGTCCGCCCCCCGGGCCGCCTCCGCTCCGGGCCTTCCACGCGAGTTCGACCGTAATCGGATTCCCCCCCACCCCCCGGCACGTCTCGGGTCTTCCTGGAAACTCGCGGTTGCCCCCGATGCTCGTTAGGGAACTTTCCCTCATTAGCTGTAGTTAGTTCAAAATCGCTTCCCTGTCTCGCCAGCTGCCCGCTCCCACTTTTTGTTCGAACTTCTGTAAGAGTTTATTTGAGCCAGACTGACGGCTGACGCCTTGGGGAAGATCTCAGATTCCCCCGAGCGCGGTTGGTCGGCGGCCTCCCGGACCGGGGATCGAACCGCGAGCGAGCGCGGGCCTGGGCCGGAACCGAGCCGCCACCTTGCGGTCGCGGGAGGACGCTCCCGCCCGCGAAGCCGCGCCGGCCCGGGCCCCCCTTTCGCTTTTTATTGAGGATTCTCGCAGGCCCAGTTGGGTGTCTTTTTGTTGGGTTTAATCAGGAAGTGTCACCGAAGGAACACCCTCTCTTCCCAGAGCTTTTCGTTACGCATTTGACAGTTGAGTTGTGCCCGAGAGGGAAGTCCTAGTTTTCGCCCCGCACTTTGATCGCAGCTGCCGTCGCTGGGCGGCTTCAACTGCCCTGGAGAGGCCGCAGGCGCCCGGGTCCCGGCAGGGACCGGGCTGCGGAGCCGCCTCGCCGCTGCGGACCGACTGGGCTTCACGTCGGGAGGAAAAGGGCTGGCGGCCGCAGCTGAGGACGAGGCGCCCTTCCAGGCGGGCGCCCGCAGCGCTGCGCCGCGAGAATCCGCGCGGGCGCTGGGACGGGCCGTGATTGCCGGGCCGCGCCTGTCTGGGCGGCGGGCGGCGGGCGGCGGGGCCCCGCGAGCCGGGGCGGAGCTGTGCGGGCTGCGAGATCCGGCGGGTTCACTCCCGGCCCTGGGGTCCCGGAGGAGGGGCCCGGGCCGGGCCTGCGGCGGGGACGGGGGAGAAGGCGGTAGGCAGTGCGGACGCGTGTGGGGCCGGGCGTCGGGCACTGGGCAGTACTTTGTGGCTGAACATTTGGGGTTTAGATGACCAGGGGGACGGTCAGTAGGCTTTCAAGTACGTTTTGATGATAATCGAGAACTCAAGAATTTAACAGTGATATCACATCTCCTTAAGAAACACGCTTTCAGTGTAAGGAGTCGTCTGGCTGATAGTGAGGGAAAGAAGCAGAAACATCACCCAAGGCCTGGCTAGGCGGCCGAGCGGCTCTGAGCGTCGGGCGACGTCCCGCAAACAGGCGGTGGCTTCAGTCCCCGTCAGGGAGCCCGCCCGGGTCGTGGGGTTCAGTCCCCAGTTGGCCGCGCAAGGGGCAGCCCATCGGTGCTTCCTTCCCTCTCTGCAGAATCAATAAAATGAAAAAATTAAAAAGAAAAAACACTCAAAAGCAAAAAGTTTAGTGACTTGCAGCCATTTAATGCAAGATAATCATTCTTATGTACCTACCTGCCTTAATGCCAAAGGAGGACTTTGTATTAAGTTTCAGTGAAATAATTGTGGCTCGAATGACACTAATTACTTAAGAAACCAGTGAAGTTTATATTTTTATAACGTTTTATTAAAGGCTATTTTAAAAATATAGCTTTGGCTTTTAAATAGACATGTTTCAATTGTCTGAAAATAGTCTTTTGTAAAACTGGTTCATTTCATTGTAAGAAATGACAAGTAAAGCTCACAGTGTTTTGGGAAAACACAAGATATGTGCTTTTACACTCACACTTCTAGTTACTCTTAGGTCACTTCCCTGTAGTTTTCTTCCATATGATTGCATTTGTTACATTTTGTTTTTACTTACACTGATTTTTAACTTTTTTGATTTTTAATTTTCACTCTCAGCGTTAACACTCTCATTGCAGTTTTAGGCTTAGAAATAATTTTTAAAAGGACGTTTGCTCATAATTTTAAATTGCTCAAGCCTTTAACTTGTCTTTGCCCAGAGGCAGCTCTCGCTGTGGTCTTCGCGCCCCTGAGCGCTGACGGGCGGGTGCACACGTCTGTGGCCTGGCCGCTCCCTCTGCGCCTGCAGCTTCGGCAGGGCCTGGCCTGGCCGCCCAGACCGAGCCCTGAGGCCGCAGGCCAGCCTCTTTGCTATAGACAGCGGCCACCCCTGCCCTGTGCGGGAAGCGCTGTGTCTCCTACAGAGGAGCACCTCCCAGATTCCCGCGCCGCCCCAGCTCCTGCACCGCCAGCCGCCCAGGGGGTGCGCACAGCCACCAGCTGCTGGTCTGAGTGCTTTTCTGGAAAATGTTGTGTGATGATAACAAGGACGTGAAGGTTAATGCCCTGTTTCATATAACCAGCAAGTACAATCCGTTAATAGTTAAGAAAAAAAAGACAGCAAGGATGGTGCCTAGCCTCCTTGGAAAGCGGTTTTCAAACCTTTTGGTGGTGTGGTACCTTTCCGTTTCACTTCGTGTCGACGCCTAAGATACCTGCAGAGAAGCGCACTAGCCTAAGTGGTCAGCTGGGTAGATTTTCCTAACCCAATTCACCCTCAGTAGCTCTCGGGCTGAGGAACCGAGCGCACCCAGCTACCTGTGCTCCTTCCGCCCACTGTGACTTTGAGTGGCGCAGAGCAGTTCTGCCTCGGAGAGCACTTTGTTTCTGTTTCTGGCTTTTTTATCTGATACCACATTTGTGAGATTTTTCCCCCCTTATATTGTTGAGTGTGTTTGCAGATCGTTCTTCTTGGCGTATAGGCTTTCTTTATGTGGCTACATCACAATTCACTTGTTCCAAAATTGGTGGGCATTGGGGCAGGTTCCAGCTTTTGGCTTCTCTGAGTATCACAGTGCCACTCTGAGCATCCTGATGACGTGTCCTTGGCGAACAGGTGGCTGTCCTTCCTGTGGGCGCACCTGCCTCGGCGCGCCACGGGGTCCCGCGGCTGCATACCCACCTCACGCCTGGCATTTGCCCTCATTTTGGAGAGTGTGTAGTAGACCTTACTGTGGTGTATTTGAGAGTATCTTAGCATTTCCCTGATTTTTTATGTTGATTGACTATTTGGATATTCTCTTTTGTTAAATGTCCAACCCCTTTGCTCATTTTTATCTTGGGTTGTCTGCCTTTTTCTTGTGGGTTTATAGCAATTATTTGTATATTCTTACACAAGTTTTGTAAGAAATGTGTTCTGGTAAAGACAAATAAGACAGATGCAGGCTTAAAACTTGGGGAAGCTGTAAGAGTTGAGTCAGATGGGAAAAGATTGGACTCCTGTCTTTCCATATTTTCCAGGAAGCAAAGCTCTCACACCTCTGTGCATATTACAGGATCTCAGTAACGCAAGGCGGGAGTTGCAGCTCAGAATGAGTTAAGAAGTAATAAATAACACGGCACTTTTGCGTAATCTCAGGCTCCAGACCCTGATGAGGTGCATTTCAGGCCCACAGGGGGCCCTGCCGTGGGAGGTTGGAGTGAGTGGCTCCAGAGGCCCCTTCACATGTTAAGCAACAAACCACGCTGCCGTGCTGGACAGGAGAGCAGTTGCGACCTGTGCAGACCGTGTCTGTGTGCTCTGCACCTGCAGGCGTGCTCCGGAGGGGCCACGTTCTCTGGACCCCTTGCTTTGCCACTCCAGGCCTGGGGTCCTGAGCTAAGACCCCGGCGAACTGGTTAATGTGTCTCCCTCACTTTAGGATGCTTTGCATGTGGGATGGAAAATGGATTCCGAGTCTACAACACCGATCCACTAAAAGAAAAAGAGAAACAAGGTAAGGAGTCACCAGCATTCCGTGGTTCCTCTCCCTTCCCAACCCTTGGGTCTGAGTTTTATCTTACAGGTGGAAGCAGGGGGCAGCTGGTTTTGAGAAGTAAATAGGGTTCATGGCCATTCGCTAACTTGGACAGAGCTGTGCTTGCTCTCTCGTTGAGCTTCTATGGGCGCCTGACTCTGCGCAGGGCCACCCGCAGTGGGGGTCCAGCGGGCACTGACCGCTTTCTCCAGCGAATCCGCCCTTGAAGCGCCCGTCTTCCCTGTGTATGGAGGGACGAGGCGTGTGTAGCTCACCGAGGCCTTTTCACTCCCGGTGTGTGCAGAGTTGCAGAGACCTCGGGCGGTGCGGTCAGTCGCCACCGACGGGGCTCCCAGCTCTCGGGGAGTGACCGGCGCTGTAGTGCTATTATTTGTAGCAGTGAATCTGTTTTTGCGGGACACAACCTGGAATCAGGAATTCCATTGGTAAAAGAATGCTGGTCATTTTCCCGTTTGACAGGAAAAAATGTTAAATTTGCCAACAGAATTTTTTTCAGTTTTTTTCTCATATATATTTTTCTTAAGCTTTTAGTGTTTCCGGGTCCTTCCAGGAGAGTCAAGCACTGCCAGTGGATGACTAAATCTCAGCTACACTGTAGAAGATGAGAAACATCCTTTTTCTTCCCGCAGTTGTAGTTTTGGTTTTCATTCAGTGTGCAAGTTACGTTTTCCGATGCTAGACGTTTCTCACCTGTAGGGGAAGTTGCTGCACCCCAGGGCCCCACGGAGCAGCCCCTCAATGAGTGACGCCCTGCTCGGCAACGTCCAGCCCCCCGTTGCGCGGCTCTCGCGCTGACGGCTGCAGTTCTGCGGTCTGCCGGGGTGCAGGGCCCAGCGCGAAGCAGCGCCCATTCCAAAACCGCACGCGTGCAATTCTGTAACATAAAGATGCCGCACTCAGCCGCACCGCATGACGCTCTAGGTGAAGTGTTCAGATTAGAACCGTGAATCACTGCACCCATATTATTCCCCTCCCGACCACGCTCCAGCAGGCGTGACTTCTGTGGGACCCGTATGTATATTTCTTGCCAGTCTGACAAAAGAGTGGGTGTGATTTTTATTTCATTCACACCAGATGGCTATTGTTGTGTTGGCTGTCACCACTTTTTTATTTGACAGTCTAAGGAGGGAGAGGTCAGTGCTCCTGACTCAGTAGTCAGGCATCACGTGTTTTAAAGTCCTGTGTCAGAGTAGCTGACAGTCGCTGCCCCACATCAAAGACTTTTCAGATTTCTTCTTCTTTTTTTTGATAGTGGAACCTCTTTGTCAAATGAAATCTGCACAAGCCTCGTATGTAAACCAGTCAGCAGTGCTTTGCACGTAGGAGTTAGACTCGAGGCCGAGCGCTGACTCCCGCTTACGGGAGGACCGCAGTGCAGCCTGGCGGCGGAGGCCCCCTTACCGGGTCGCTCTGCGACCTGGGGCGAGCGTCCGCCTCCTCTCGGCCTCAGTTTCTTTGTGGGTAAGGCGAGGACTGCCAGCCCCCCAGGGTCTGGCAGAGATGAGGGAAGCGGAAGACGTGAAGGCCGTCGCAGTCCGTTCGCCGGGAGCCGCGAGGACTCCCGTCAGCAGCCAGCCCACGTCTCAGCCCCCCTTCTGTTCTGGTACATAGGGAATTAAGGCGGCTCTGCTTTGTGCAGATAAGTAGTTACAAGTTATTTCGAAACAACTTGACTTGCAATTTTCAGGACGCTTTTTGCTTAAATTGACCGCAGACTGAGAAAGGAGTAACAGGGATGGTTACTGGCAGCATATTCATTGCTTTCTCCATTAAAGAGAAGTTTCCAACAGATGCAGGATTCTTGCAAAGCTGGCGAGAGCTCTGCCGCTGTGGTGCTGTCCTGCGTGCAGTGTTCGCGGTTGTGCACGGCTGCCCCTGAGCGCGGCCTTGTGGCCTTGAGCCCTGCTTCTCGGCGGCACGTTTTCTGTGGCGCATGTTCACCTGCACGCACTTGCAGCTTCGTCCACGCAACAGCTCTGATAGCCTGACTCGGCAGGAGGAAACAGGAGGTGGCCTGTCCCCTTTTGGTCCTGGAGCGTTGCTTTCCTGAACAAGGAGAGACGGTGCCTGTATCACAGTGGCCGTTCCCGGGTCTGGGCCTTGTCATCCGGGCCGTGGCTGTGGCTCTGAGCCGGAGCCTGCCTGGCCATGAGCAGCGGGCCTCTGCCGGGCGAGCCGCTGCTGGCCGGGACTCGGTGCTGGGGCGGCGCTGCCTCGCCCCTCCCCGGGACTGCGGGCGCACACCGCCGGGACTCGCTCGGGGGTCCCCGCGGCACTGCTCCCCCGGGGAGGACAGCGTGGAAGGCCGCGATGCAGGCTGCTGGCGTTCTCGTAGTGACCCTGGGCGCCAGAGCGTGGGCGCGGGTCCGGACACACCTCGCGCGTAAGCATGAGCAACAGGAGGGTCACCAGTCACGGTCGGAACACACTCAGGTGTGTCAAGGGCGCTGTGTCGGATAAGATATTCAGCAGTCACAGAACCACAAAGAGGGCGTGTGAAAGGCAGCGCCGCCCTCACCTGGAAACCACCCGCCGCCAACGCAGGGGGCGGGACGCGCTCACCGAGCTTGCAGACAGGCGGGCAGCGGCTCCGAGTGTTCCCTCGTCCTCACACGGCCCGCCTTCCCCTCCATGGGACCTCACACGTGTGACGCTGGCGGCTCAGTGCGGGGAGGTAGTGGGGCAGAGGCTAGAGGGCACGTCGTGTGACTGAGGTGGAGGCGAGCCCTCGGTGGTGGCTGGGCATCTTCCGGCCTGGGGGCTGCACCGGGGGCGGGGGTCCACGGACGGCAGGGTAGGCAGGGTCCTTGCTGAGCCACGCCAGCGTCTGGAAGTAAGAGGTGACCTCTTTGTGCACGGTTCCCGAAGTGACCCAGGCCAGCAACCTGCCTGGCCGACTGGGGGGTGGGGCTTCCCCACGGCCCCTAATCCTGGTTACGTCTAAATGTCAGAGTCACGTGGCTTCCTGCCCCGTGTGGTCGCACCAGCACGGCGGGGGGGAGGGGACCAGAGGGGAGCGGCGAGCACGTGAGGCGCGCGTGGAGGAGCGGACGGTGTCTGTCCTCCTGTGACGGGCTGACTTCACTGAGCGCAAGTCCTGGAGGCTCAACGCACCAGCACTTCCCTCCTTTTAAGGCTGCGCGGCGTCCTGTTCTGTGGACGGACCACGTTTTGTTCATCCCTCTGTGGGTGTGTGGGTCGCTCTCCCCTGTGGCCGTTGCGAGTGACACTGCTGCAGACACGGGCGTGGACGTAACTGCGGGAGCTCCCGCCTCTGGAAACGTGCTGCGCTAGGAAGTGGGGTTGCTGGCCCATGTGGTGGTTCTGTTTTTAGTTTTTTTTTAATAGATTTTTTTAAAGAGAGAGAAGAACATTGATTTGTTGTTCCATTTATTCATGAGTCATGGTTGATTCTTGCGTGCGCCCTGACCAGGGGTGGAACCTGCAACCTTGGTGTATTGGAACGATGCTCTAACCAGCTGAGCTACCTGGCCAGGACCCTGTTTTTAATTTTAAAGAAGTTTTAAAAATACATGTTTTTTCATTTTAGAGAGCGGAAGGGTGAGAGAAAGAAACAGCTGTTGGATCCCTCCTGTATGTGCCCCCACCGGGAACTGAACCTGCAGCCCCTGGCTTGCGGGACGATGCTCCAGGCATCTGGGCCCTGTTTTAAATTCTTAAAGCCTCCCCGTACTGTTTTCAGTAGCGGCTGTGCCCCCGCGGCTGCGTGAGGGCTCCGGTTTGTCCACACCCTTGTCAACACTGGTTGTTTTCTGCTGCTCGTGTGGCCGCCGCAGTGCCCGCGAGGCGATCGGTAGCCCGCTGTGGCGCGGCCTGCATTTCTCTAATGTTCGGTGCTGGCGAGCACCTCTTCTTGTGTGTGTGGACACACACGTCATCTTCGGGGAGACGCTCGGTCCAGTCCTAGGCCCACTTTTCCGGGGGGTGGTTTGATTGTGGTGGGCGGGCTGTGCTCGCCCCCTTGTCAGGTGCGTGGTTTGCAGCCTTTCCTTGTGATCTCCAGGTGGCCCTTTCGCTCGGTCGGTTGCGTCCGCGAAGGCGCAGAGGTTCTTAGCTTTACTGTCGTCCCTTTTCTCTGTTTGCTTTTGTTGCCTGTGCTTTTCACGTCGCATCCACGAAAGCATCGCCACACCCAGCGCAGGGTTGCCTGCGCCTGCACTGGGAGTTCTTTTGTTTTTTGTTCTTTTAAAGATTTTATTTATTTTAGGGGAAGGGAGGGAGAAAGAGAGAACCATGAATGTGTGGGTGCATCTCATGCGCCCCCCACTGGGGACCTGGCCCACCACCCAGGCCTGTGCCCTGACTGGGAATCGAACTGGTGACCCTTTGGTTCACAGGCCAGCGGTCAGTGCACTGACCCACACCAGCCAGGGCTCCTCTATCAGTTTTATAGTTTTGTGTCTTATCACACTTTAGGTCTTCAGCCCATTTTGAGTTAATTTTCAGACGTGGTGTCCGTTAAGGGTCTGGCTTCGTGCTTAGCGGGAGGACATCTGGTTTTCCGGCAGCCTGTGTTGGAGAGAGTGTCTTTCCCCTCATGGCGGGGTCGGCTCTCGTTTCCCAGCAGGTTGCTGGACGCATCGCTGAGCTTTGGTCTGCTCCAGTCTGTAGGCCAAGACGGAGAGGTGACTGGCAGTGAGTCGCCTGCCTCTGGGGAGTGAGCCGTGGGGACCAGCGCAGCGGTCTCGGCACTGGCGGCCGCATCCGACGCCGTGGGGTGAAGCAGCCGGGCATTTCCAGACGAGGCCATACACCTGGGTGCAAGGGGGACCATTGTACTCGTTCGGATTTGGACCGTGGCCACGTCCTGTTTGAGCCAGAATTACTTTGAGGTGGCTTGTGTCAGGGACTGTTAAATTGTTTGAAAGAAAAGCTGTTTCCGTTAGGGACAGTGCAAAATGTTCAGTACGAGGGTTTCCACTGGGTCGTGAGTTTTAAATTTTTCATGGAGCAGCTGAGGAGGTGTGGAATCACCTTGCGCAACTGGACAGGTAGAAGCCGGTCCTTAGGCCAGCTACGTGCCCTTGGCTGCGCCCTGCCTGCCGCGGGGCTCCCCGTGGCTTGAGGCCCGGGGGGTCGAGGGGTGTCCTGCTCTGTGGCAGGCCCCGCACGCCCCCCTCAGGGAGCCCCCCGCCTCGGTCCCGGAGGAGGCCTGCCAGCCTGCTGGCGCGGTTTCCCTCTTCCTGTGACTCATGGACATTCTTGAGCATTTCCGACTTTAGTGGAAGATGTGTTTAAGTAATTTTTTTAAAAACTCAACTTTTGCATTAGAGTGTTTAGCTTGTTTTCCCTGCTACAGATCTTGCTGTACCTCAAAATGTGAATTTAGATGTATTTTGCCCTTGGCTTCTTGGGGTGCTGTGTGTTCAGCATTTATATGGGAAACAGCTGGGGGGTGGCGGGGGGCTGAGAGGCGTCTGCGCACAGAGCTGACTGTTGGTCCTAGCCTGTCACCGTTCTCATTTCTGATGGCCGTTAAACGCTGTAAGTTGCTGATGAAAAATCAAATGCCCGCTGTTACATTTCACCTCTTTCTCTACTCTTTTTTAAAATTGTAAAGTGTACACACTGACTTCTTTTTAATATCATTTCAGAGTTTCTGGAAGGAGGAGTTGGCCATGTTGAAATGTTATTCCGCTGCAACTACTTAGCTTTAGTGGGTGGTGGGAAAAAGCCGAAATACCCGCCCAGCAAAGGTAAAGCCCCGTGTGTTCCCTCGTTGTGTCCCATGCGTGGTCGTGCCTCGGGCTTTCCAACATCTTTGTGTCTGTGGCCGCATTCGCTCTTCCCTGCAGTCCTTGGAGTGTGAAGGACTGGCCTCTGGGAAAGAAGGGTCCGGAAAGAGTGTCCAGTCTCTGGCGCCCCCAGGAGAAGAGCCGTCTGACGAGCGTCGCTTGCTCGCACTGGTGCAGAGCCGGTGCCGTCCCGTTGATGCTGGCCAAGCAGGGGCACGCCGTGCCCCGGGCCCTTGTGTTCCGGGCGCCCTGCCGTGGGCTGGTGTCACAAAGGCCCCACGTTTATGAGGCAGGGTGCGGGGAGGTCATTTTCCAAAGGGGGCCATTGACTCACAGAGACATTAATTTGTTCACCGCATAGAACAAAAAACCAGCGTGGCTCTTGGTTTAAGGATATTGCTTGTGGGGCTGGTTAAAGACATTGCTGTATAGAGGATTGGCCTCTTTTAAAGTAAGGGAGAGCCCTGGCTGGCGCGGCTCAGTGGACTGGGCGCCGACCTGCGAACCAAAAAGCCGCCGGTCCGTTTCGCAGGCAGGCCACAAGCCTGGGTTGCGGGCCAGGTCCCCAGCTGGGGGCGTGTGAGAGGCAACCACGCATGGATGTTTCTCTTTTTCTCTCTCCCATCCCCACTGTCTCTAAAAATAAATCTTTAAAAATGAAAATTAAAAAATAAAGTAAGGGAGAAACAGAAAAGTTTACCAGCCAGAGCAGCACACCACTTGCTGACAGGGACCGAATTAAATGGCGCCAATAGCCGCATGTGTGGGTTTTGGCCATCGCAACGAGGCAGCGCCGGCCTGGAGGGGCTGCCAGGGTCCCGGCCTGTGCCCAGTTCCTTTGCTCCCTGAGCGGGGGTCGCACCGCTGCTGTGGGGCCTCTGTCCCCGGGCGCCAGCCGCTGTGGGCGCCGAGGCTGCCTACCGGTCCGCACCTGCGTGGGGCTGGGTGGCAGGGCCAGGTCGCTGCCAGACCAGAGGTGCCCGTTGTCCAGATGGGCGCAGGCGCCAGGCCTTGGGAGGTAACGCTCAACAGCGTGAGCCTGCCGGCGCCCTGGAAGGGTGAGCCCACTGGGGAGGTCGCTTGGGTGCAGCGATTTATGGACCCAAGGCGGCATTTAAAGCATTCTCTGCTTCGTTTGCGCTTGGTCTTAATTTTCATTAACCTCTTCAGTAGTAAATAAACTTCATCGTAGGCTAGTGTTAAATTCTCTTGACTGGAATGTGAGGTCACTTAGTCCATCCTGGCAAAATTTACACCTGAATTGGGCCTCAGGGCTCACGTTGGCCATGGTGTCAGGACTGCTGGGGGCGGGACGTTCCCTCCTTCCCATCACCCATGACCTGGCGGCTGAGGAGAAGGTGCCTCCCCACCTCACGCCCGGCACAGGCGGCTCTGCGCGCAGCAGAGAGAAACGCGCCGTGCCCCGCATGCCCAGCCCTGCTGGTCGGCTCCGTCCACCCCCGAGGGCCCGCACGCGGCCTCCGCGCGGCCTGGGGAAGCCTGGCCGCGGGGGCGGGCCGGCATTCCTGGGCTTGGTGGGTGGAGGGCGGCCAGGCGGGCTGGGCGCATCCCCCCCGCCCCCGGCTCGAGGCGTCGGACTCCACAGTGGGCTGGCCTGGGCCCCGCCAGCAGCCGCTCGGTCAGTGAGAGGCCGGATCCCGCGCACCGGGCCGGGGCGGGGACCTGAGTGGGGCCAGGGCTGCGCGAGCAGAGGGGACAGCGTGGGCGCGTGGGAGCGGGCGGGCGGCTGCATGTCCGCCTGCTGAGGTGCTGCGGGCGGAGGGGTGGGCGGCCCCGGTGCAGGGCCGTCTGCCCGGCGCTCACGGAGGCTTTCTGGTGTCACAGTGATGATCTGGGACGACCTGAAGAAGAAGACGGTCATCGAGATAGAATTTTCCACAGAGGTCAAGGCAGTCAAGTTGCGGCGAGACAGGTAGGTGGGGCACCTGATCTTTAAAAGCGGAAGAATCGCCTTCTCTGAAGATGGCTGACGTGCTTGTGTGTTGAAGGAAGAAAGTGCTCAGGAAAACAATGTGTCGACACACGGTGGCTGTAGTGTGTGATCAGAGGACGCGAGGGTTACTTACATTGCGGCGAGGAAGGCGGTGAGCCTGCCTGGCTTCCGAGGACGACTGAGCGGCGAGGCGCTCCCGCCATGGCCCGGTGCTGCCCTCGGTGGCTCTCTGCAGAGACGTCCCCACCCGGCAGGTGCCGACTGCGGGGACGGACGTTGCGCCGTGTTCTCCCCAAAGCCGTCCCAGTACCTGTCTTCACTCTGAAGGTAAAGGAAACTTTGGAGACTCCTTAGGGAGGAGGCGGCGTGAGAGCAAGTCTCTCTCTCTCAGCCTTTGCCTTCAGAGTGTTGAGGACGTCGACGTCTGTCTTGCTGGGCAGCGAGGTAGAGCAGGGCTTCCATAACTTGGACCGCGTTTGCTACGCTCCGCGCATTACACTCCGCGGTGGCGGACAGAGGCAGAGGACACGGTCCAGGTCCTCCCCGCGAGCTTAGGTCTGCTACTTCCAGCGATGCCCGTGCGCAGGGACCCTTCCTCGGCCGGTACTGGAGCCACGCCCGGGACCTCCCGCGTCCTGGCGCCTCTGAACTGCCCCGACGCACCCAGAAGCATGGAGAAGTGTTGTTCCGTCCGCTGTGTCCTGCTTGGCTCTTGCTGCGGACGGAGTGTGTGGGGATAGTGCCCCTCCGCCTGCCAGCGAGGGCGGGGACCCCAGACGCAAGCAAGGGCGGCCCCTCTGTCTCTGGCGTTGGAGTTTCTAAGGCTCAGCCTGACAGGAACAAATAACCACAAGATGCGTGAGTTTCACTTTTAGGGAGAGGAATGCTGATTGTTCTTTTCCTTCCAGAATCGTGGTGGTTTTGGACTCCATGATTAAGGTGTTTACATTCACACACAATCCCCACCAACTGCACGTCTTTGAAACCTGCTATAACCCTAAAGGTGAGAAGCTCAGAGAAGGCCCCGCTGTGGGGGGTCCTGCGGCGCGGGGGTGCTCACGCCAGGTCCCGGGCTTCTCCCGCACCCCCCGAGGGCACCCCCTCCCCCGGGGGGCCCTTCCCAGCACCTGCTCCTGCCTCTGTCCCCAAAGGCCGCCTCGGACCTCAGCAGCTGGGCCCTGGGGTCTGAGCGTTTCTCCCGTTTCCCCGAAGGAGGCAGGGCTCATAGCGCACTCGTTACTCATGACATCAGCTTAGTTTCCTTTGGGAAGTTTGTCCTCCTCCCGGCTTTATGGAAATATGGTTTGCTCGTTTTGAATACATCACCTGATAAACTTCAGTCACTATTAGAAGCTGTGTCACCTCAGTTAAGACTGAGCGGCCCCCTCGCCTGAGAGCGTGTCCTCTGGCAGGGAGGGTCCCCCGCTGCCCGCGAGTCCTCTGCGGCTGTGGTTGGTGTCTTTCTCTGAAGTTAACGTTTTTCAGATCCCTCCACGTATAGTGTTGTTTTGCTCCTTTTTATTGCTGAGCAATAGTGGAAGGTACGGATAGGCCAGAGCTACGTGTCCATACTGGGTTTTTGGCCGTTAGGATGAGAAGCTGCTCTGGGTGTCGACATACAGATCTGTGTGTGCATGGGGTCTCCTCCCTCCTGAGCGGTTCCGGGGGGAGTGTCACTGCTGCTGGGTCATGCTGGAAACACGCCTGGCTCCACGGATCGCCAACAAAATGTTTTCCAGAGCGGCCACATCCTGTTGTGTTGCGTCCCCTCAGTGACTTGTGTGAGCTCCAGTGGCCAGCACGCGGTGGTGCCGGCCTTTTCACTGTGGACGTCACGTGGGGGTGGCTGTTGTCACTGCCACTTGTACATCCTGTTTGCGAAGCAGCTTCACGTCTTTTGCCTGATTTAAAGTTGTTCATCTTATTACTGGGGTGTAAGATCCTTTATGTATTCCGGTTAAAAAATCAAATTGTCTCTCCACTCCCAGCGATCTGGGTGTCCGTCCTTATGCCAGCACCAAGCTGCCCTGGTTTCTGGAGCTCTAAAATGTTTCTTGCAATTAGGTAGCATAAGTCCTGCAATCTTGTTCTTATTTTATAAAGTGGTTTTTTTTGGCTACTGTAGGGCCTTTTGCCTTTACTTGCAGTATCAGCTTGTCTGTTTCTTCAGAAGAGCCTGCAGGGACTTTGTGACTGAGCCTGCGGGGGCGGGGGCGGGGGCGGGGGCAGGGACAGACTCCAGTCCAGCGGTCGGGGCGGCCCTTGGCTTCCTGCGCTGTGTATTCTGGGGTCGTACACTCTCGTGGGACTTAGTCTCGAGTACTTTGTTTTCTTCTGTAGTTAATGGAGCAGTTTTCAGATTTTACAGTTTTGCATTCTCAGAGCCTGGCACCATGGAAGACAGACATTTGATAAAGTTTCCGTTCAGAAAGCGTTTCCAGTTTTGCAGTGTCTCGCGGGAGGTCGCTGTGCTCGGCCCTCTGAGTCCCTTTTTGGGGCTCTGACATAAGGGGAGACCCACAAGTAACTGTGTTTTCCTTGGGAGCCGGAGAGCGGAGCGCAGGTTCGGACAAGGCTCCGCCGGTGGGAAGCAGAGGCTCTGAAAGTGGCCGTGGACCCTTGACAGGTTTTCTGTCTCTGTTTAGGCCTTTGTGTCCTGTGCCCGAACAGTAACAACTCCCTGCTGGCCTTCCCGGGCACACACACGGGCCACGTGCAGCTGGTGGACCTGGCCAGCACCGAGAAGCCTCCCGTGGACATTCCCGCCCACGAGGGCGTCCTGAGCTGCATCGCTCTCAACCTGCAGGGAACAAGGATCGCAACGGCGTCTGAAAAAGTAAGCAGGTGTCCCCACCCTCGCGGAGGGCGTGCGCCTCCGGCCGCCGCCCTCACTCCCCCTCGACCTCCGGGGAAGTGGGGGCTCCACAGGAAACCAGCTGTCGCTGGCGTGGCTGGCCCAGAAGTCCCTCGACCTGGGCCTGCCTCCTCCGGCGGCAGAACGCGGCGTCCCTTTCTCCGACGGGCGTGGGAGTCCCAGCGCAGGGGCCGTCGCTCCAGACGCCGGGCGGCCAGCACTGGAGGGGCCGGGCGGCCGGCCTTGGTGCTCCCCCGGGCGTCTGCTCAGGGCCCGGGGACGGGGTGGGGGTCCCAAGACTCGCTCACGCTCTTGGGCCCCTGCCCAGAGCTGTCGGCTGAAAGGGCCACCAGCCTGCTCGTGGGAGCGATTGAGGGTGGATTGGGCTCTGGGTGACGGGGGGCCGGCGGGGGGGCCTTGTGTGGGCGAGCGGGTGTGTATCAGTTACTGAACAGACTGACTAAAACGTTGTGAATCTTTGATAATGAAACGCTTCACTGTTTTTCAAAGGGGACCCTTATAAGAATATTTGATACTTCATCAGGGCATTTAATCCAGGAGCTGCGCCGGGGCTCTCAAGCAGCTAACATCTACTGGTAAGGACGGCCACCTTCTCACCCAGGTCAGGCCGCGCGCGGGCCCCATGTGCTCGGGAGGGCCAGGCAAGGACCCCCAGCCCTGCGCACGCAGGAGGGGGCCTGCTGTGTTGGGGGTCGCAGGTCAGCTCATTTTGTTATTGCTAATTTTAACATCTATCGTGGGAATATACACAAAAGTAGAAAGACTATTATAACTACCATGAACCCATGGCTCTGCTTACTGTCTGTGGTGTCCAAAGGCAAACAGCAGAGATCCTGTTGGCTCAGCGGTCAGTGCTGGAGCCTCCGCTGAGAGGCCGAGCTGCTTCCTGCAGGAAGAGGCCACCACGCCCCCTTTGTGTCTGGCTCTGTAGTTGCTGAGACGTTCACATGTAGAGCTCATGGGCGCACCTGGGGCCGTGGCGTCCGGCACGCTCTCCTGTCCATCTGCCCTCGGGCCCCTCCGGCTCCGCGGTGCCTCCGAGCGCGGCCGAGGCACCTCCAGGGGCAGGGCAGTCGGAGAGGGGGAGCCTTTCTCACCTGAGCGCGCGTGGAGGCCGCAGTCTGCGGGAAACCCTCCCTGGTCCCGAGAATCCAGCCTTGTCTGCACACCCAGGGAGGGCCTGCTGTGAACCCCGTTTCTGTGGGGAGCGCTGTGGGGTTGTCAAAGGAGGGGCGGCCCTTACACTGTGGTGCACCGGGAGGGCCAGGGCGACCAGCGGCAGCTCGATGGGCTTGTTGCTGTGGTGGGGGCTGGGCCCCGCCTCCACACCCAGCCCGAGCGTGTCCGCTTTCTCCGCAGCATTAACTTCAATCAGGACGCGTCCCTCATCTGCGTGTCCAGTGACCACGGCACGGTGCACATTTTCGCTGCGGAAGATCCAAAACGGAACAAACAGTCTAGGTAGGTTTCCCAACGTGAAGGGGACTAGCCATTGCCCCAGCGGAGGGTCCTTCTCACGGTTTGAGCCTTTGAAAACCAGAGCAGAGCGTGTGACACTAAAGCAGCACCGTCACGCCTGCAGAAGTGTCCCCTGCAGGCTTGGCCCGACCTCCCCCGCTGCCTCTGTTCGCTGTGTTCAGAGAATGAATCAGCGACGGTCCCATAGAAACCTGTGCCCCTTCTGGGGCTGAAGGTTTATTATATGGTTATTTGTAAGGACTTAGTTTTTCTATGTGAAAAATAAAACATTTGATTACGGCTAAGCCTGTGTTTGAGAGACCTGTATCTTTAACTTTGTGATGCGAATGTAACTTCTTTTCTTCTTTTCCTCCATAGTTTGGCATCAGCCAGTTTCCTTCCAAAATACTTCAGTTCCAAGTGGAGTTTTTCCAAGTTTCAGGTTCCCTCGGGCTCTCCATGCATTTGTGCCTTTGGAACAGAGCCAAATGCTGTCATTGGTAAGTGGTCCTTCCAGACGCAGACGGCAGGCCGCCCCGCCCCCTCGCGTTCCCCCAGCTGCCCAGCCCTTTCTTGCCTCCCTGGGGCTACACAGCCATGAGGGAGTGTTACCAACTCCCCACCCTCTGGGGTTTCCCGGGAAATCTGGGGACAGATCAGTTGGCCTTTTTATTTCTTTCGCCAACTCCCCCAGAGCATTTGGGACTCTTGGCCATGTATATGCTCAGTGAGAAAGGGGAACCCCTGGCCGTCTACAAATTCACGCACAAGTCGGCTGCTTGGGGGTCCGCGAGGCCAGTTGCAGTTCAGCTGAGCAGGGGCCACTTGCATTGAACTTTGAGTGAATCACGTGAGTGGAATGGTCTCTTCCCTCTCAGCGATCTGTGCGGACGGCAGCTACTACAAGTTCCTGTTCAACCCCAAGGGGGAGTGCATCCGCGATGTCTACGCGCAGTTTCTAGAAATGACCGACGACAAGCTGTGACTCGGCACCCGCAGAGCAGTCGCGCCCACGGCCGAGCGCCCCCAGCGCTGAGTGCGCCCGACTCCTGGGGCCCCAGGGGCAGGCTGGGGGGCGGCCTGGGGGCCTCGGTCGTGAAGCCGTGTGCGGTTGTCTCTTCCTCAGCAAGGCTTCGCGTTTCCAGTATTAAAGGGAGAGTAACCATCGAGGCACCGTGGACACTCAAGTGGCTCTGAGCAGCCCAAGCCCGGCACTGGCTTGTTACCTGTAGTGCAACTGTGACGCCAGCTTTAACGACCCACTGCTTCCCCGCGCCTGCGTCTGGGCTCCGCACAGACTGAGGGCCTGGGCGGACGCAGGGACGGACACGGCAGAATTCGTTTGGGGCAACAGGCTCCATGATTCTCACTGACTCTGTGATGGGGACGTGAACAGATGTGCAAATGTTCGTTCTCGCTTTATAACTGGATTTAGAATGACACCACCAGCAGCTTGCCTTAGGGAGGGAGGGAGGCGCTGTCGCCCATGGGAACGGGAAGCAGAGATCCAGCCCGGTCAGCACAGGCGCCCGGCCCCTGCCCCATCCCCACCCCCACCCCCACCCCTCCGCGGACCTCCCGGCCTGCCCGCGAGTGGGGCGCCTGTGCCACGCCGGGGTCCCCTGGGGAAGCTGCCGGTGACACCGAGTCTCCCTGCAGTGTGCAGGGAGCGGAGTCACACATACACTTCAAAAATCAGTCCCAAGAAAGCACCACTTGATTAGAGAACATGAAGGGAAACGTTCGGGGTCCCAGCCCAGCAGCCCGGAGCTGCTGCCACTTCCCGGCTCCCGCCCCGCAGCGCCGATGAGGCCCCTGGCGCGCGGACGTCAGAGGACGGAGGGCCCCACCCGTCGGTAACATTCGGTCACTAAAGTAGGCTGTGGGCTCGACGTTGTCGGTACTACTTGAGGTCCGTATTTGATTTTCTTAAATTCCCTTTAAATAAACCTAGTTTATGGTTTTTATTTCACGTTGCAAACATTTAAAATCTGCAGCAAGTCCGTTTGGCCTGTTCTTTTACTGTCATGTAATCAACTAACTTTGTATGTGGGTTTCGATGTAAAGTATGCATGTTCCTTTCATGTGTATTTAATCATGAATTTAATTTTGCACACATTTTTAATGTTTCTTTTAAATAAAAGTGACTAATTTTGTTGTACTCTGTACCACTCAAGGGAAAAGAATCTCATGTTAGAAAACAGCCCCTGGTGCTGAGAATGCGGTTGGGTTGTCGGCACCGCGGGCGGGCGGCGGGGCGGGCGGCGGGGCTGCCCCGCGGGGTGACCGCCGGCCTCGGAGGCCCCGCCGCGGGAGCAGAGGGGCGGGCCGTCCCGCGCTCGCCGCCCACCGGGCAAGTCTCCAAAGACGGAGTTTGGAGGGAAAGAAAATTTTTAGTCGCAACTTTCTGCCTAAAATACCTGGGTAACAAAATAAGGGGGAAGAAAAAGCATGACCTCAAAAACGGCTATTTAAATACATGTCATTACAGCTACTACGCAGGTTCAGGACTGAAAATAACACAACAATCTGTTCGCAGCGCTGCGATCACCAAGGTCTGGAAATAACGGCAAGGTCCCGCCTCGGAGCGGGCGCTCTAGTGAGGCGCCCAGAGGAGAGCCGCCCTCCCCCGCGGCCAGTGCGCGGCTGCGCTGGGGACCTCGTCCCCCCGAAGCATCAGGCCCGCGGGCTTCGCTGCTCTCCAGCCCCGCGTCCAGCGCCAGGCGCCGCGAGCAGGACGACCCCCGACCCCGCCACGCCGCGTGGGGGGAGGGGAAAGGACCAAGCGCCTCCGCGCACCCCTGTCAAAAGGCCCCTCCCAGGATCCCGTGCGCCAGGGCCAGTGGGCGTGTCCAGCCTCCCCGCCAACCAGGGCCAGTGTTTCCCATTGGCCGCTCTTCCCCGGCTGTTTAGCCAGGGGGGGGGGGGGGGCCCCCCTCTCCAGTCACGCATGCGCAGCGCAAACCCCGCCCCCCTCACGTGTCCATGGCCTTCGAGGCCCTGAGGGTTTCGCGCTCCCTCCACTAACCTGGGAGCCCTGACTTCGGTTCGGGGCGCGGGTGACGCCCTTCCGTCCGCACGGTCGCTAGTTTATCTTTTCCCCGAGTGCCACCCTCCGGGGTGACCAAGTGCACCTCGGCCTGGGAAATGTGTCCCCAAACGACACGTGGGGTCTCCGCACATCAAGAGCCCCAACCTGGAGGCGGCCGGGGCGCGGCCAGCACCGTCCGCAGTGACAGCAGGTCCCGAGCGACGCCACCCCGTCATGTGAAGGCAAAGCCCCGCAACCCTGGGCGCCCCACGGAGACCAGTCTCACTGCGCCGCGATGGGGACCCGGGTCCGAGGCCGCGCTCCAGCCGAGCCCGGGCGGCCTTCACCGTGTGGGTGTCACAGGAGGCGGAACGAAGGAGGCGCAGCCGGCGGGCGCTCGGACGGGCGCGGCCCCTGACGTCTCGGCGTAGGGCTCGCGCAGCGCCCAGCTTCCGGCTTGGGGCGCCGCCCGGTCCCCGCAGGGGCTCGGGCGGCAACACTCTGGGGCCGCCCAGTTCGCCTCCCGCCCCCTACGCGATGGGTACGGGCCCGTGAGGGGCGCCTGTGTGCGCGGGCCGTGGGGCTGGGGCATCTCCCGCCTCCGACCGGGTTCCCGGGACCTCGCGGGACCGAGGCCGAGCCTCACGCCCCGGGACGAAGGAAGCGCGGCCGCGGCGGCGGCCACACGCGGGCGACCCGAGAGCCACTGCGCGGGATCAGCTCATCACTTGAGTCCTGTTCTCACCCCGACTTTCCTCCAGGCGGAACTGCTGTTCCTGCGACAACGCACACGGTTGGCCCGTGCGGCCACTTAGAGCGCACGTCGCGCGAAGGCCCTTCGCGGGGTGGGCCGCGCTGTCTTGGCGCCTCCGCTCCAGTCCCGGGAAGGGCCGTTGACGGCGCAGAGCCCACCCCACGGCTTCGCCTTAACCCGGTCACATCTGCAAAGACCCCGGCTCCAAACACGGCCACACGCGCGGCCCAGGCTGAGCGGGGCACTTGGGCCCGTCACCGGGAGGAGGGAGCCCTCTGGGTCGGCTGCCCTCTGGGCTCCGGGGGCCTCAGGGCTGAGTCCGTGGCCCATCCCTGCGCGCGGCACATCGGTCTGCTCGGAATGTGCCAACCGCCGAGGCGGGGCCGAACCCCCAGATTCCGGAGGTGATAAAACGCTCTGAACAGACAGGCGTGCGGGTGATCGTAAGTTTGTTCTGGGTTGACGGTCACGAGTGAGGTCGCTGAGCCACGTGGCTCAGTTCACAAACTGCCAGAGGCTCCCGGGGGGCGCGTCCGCGCGTCCACGGGCCGGGCCGGAGTCCCCCTCGGTTCTTGAAGAGCTGCTTCCATTTTGGCCAAATTCGCCAGTGATAGCCAGCCCTTGAGTTTGCTTTGTTTTTATTGAGGGGAAAACTCACATAACATACAGCCAGCCATTACAGAGTGTAAAAATTAGTAACACTTAGTATATTCACGATGTTGGGCAGCTACAACCTATCTCTGTTTCAAAACCTCCTCACAACACCACAAAATACCGAATTATTAAGAAATTACTCCCCATTTCCTCCTCTCGCCCCATCTCCTGGCAACCACTCATCTGCCCACTGTCTCTGGATTGCCCTTGTCTAAGGTACGTATGTTGTTTTAGATGATTTTCTTAGCACACTTATTAGACTACAGTATAATGTAACTGTTAAATACACCAGGTAGCCTAAAACCTTGTGAGATTCAGGATTAATATTTTACCATCTTCCTCTTTTATATTGTAATTTTGTCAATATATTTACATTAAATATTACAATTTTTACAATGAAAAGTCAGACATAGAGACTTCTGATCAGCTTTCCGGTGGTGACGACCTCCCCACGGCAACATGCCTCTCGCTAAGGGTCTCCATCCCTCGCCAGAAGAGGAGAAGAGGAAACACAAGAAGAAGCGCCTGGTGCAGAGCCCCAACTCCTACTTCATGGACGTGAAATGCCCAGGATGCTATAAAGTCACCACCGTCTCTAGCCGTGCACAAACAGTAGTTTTGTGTGTTGGCTGTTCCACGGTCCTCTGTCAGCCTACAGGAGGAAAAGCAAGGCTTACAGAAGGGTGCTCCTTCAGAAGGAAGCAGCACTGAAAGCACCCTGAATCAAGAGGAGTGGGGAACCATCCCAGTAAACACATTTTGGATACCAAAAAAACAAAAACAAAACAAGACTTCTGATCAAAATGGCGGCACAGGTAAACAGAGCACAACCACATCAAAATTACAACTGAACTATAGAACCACCATCACTCAGAACTGGCAGAAACCGAGTTGAATGGGAATCTGACAACTATGGAATTAAAGAAACCACATCCACCCAAACCGGGGCGGTGGGGGGGCGGGGGGGTGGGCAGTGCAGACGTGGGATGGGCTGGTCCCAGACCCAAGTGTGGTGGATAAAAAACCAATAGGGACATCTCGGGATCGAGGAGCCCCAGCCCCACACGAGGCCCCCAGCCCAGGGGTATCAGAGTCAGGAAGGTAAGTCCCCATTAACTTCTGGCTGCCAAACCGGCGGGGACTGAGCCAGCGGAAGAGACTCCTGGAGTCCCAAGCAGTCCCTCTTAAAGAACCCACACACGGACTTACTCAGACTCACTCCCTCTGGGCTCCAGCACCGGGGTGGCAGCTTCAAGGGCACCGGTGGCAATAGAAGGAGAGACTGAAGAGTCTGGCATCAGGGCGAGAGCCGGGGGACAGCCTTCTCCCAGACAGAGAGGCGGGCAGAGCATAGAGCCAGCCGGGCGGTGCCGTATCTGCGACTCCAGCAGCCTAACGCTGTTTGCCCCTCCCAGGGTTCCCCTGAGGCTGGTCCCACCCAACTTACAGCTGCTAACAGTAGCTTTTCTGTAAGAGTGGCTGGTCTTAGCTCAGGCTTCACAGCCTCCTAAATCCGGTCAAACAAGCAGCAGCCAGCCTCTGGGAGCCCCAGGCCCCGGGCTAGCAGCAGCCCGGCTAGATTCACAGCTTGGCTTCACCTGGGAATCTCCAAGCCCAGCACAAGGAGCAGCCAGGACAGACTGCTCTCCAGCTAAAGCTGGAAACAGGTGGGGCGGCCCCGGGCAGAACACAGGTGGGAGCTGACCTCGGTCTGCACCACCCGGGAAACCCCAGGACCTTGGGACCCAGAGCAGCTACAGACCCCTGCCCAGCTGGTCCTCCCTGGAGGGCGGAGGTTGGCGGTCAGTGGTCACAGCCAGTCCTTGCAGCTGACTGGCCGGGGTAAATCCCCCCCCATCGACAAAAAGTCAGTTTCTGGGGTCTAAGATACGGCTTGACAGTGTTTTCTCTGAGTTTATCCTATTTGCAGTCCACTGAGCTTTGTGAATCTTTAAATTTGTCTTCCACTAAATTTCAGATATTTTTGACCATTATGTCTTTAAAAAATTACTTTAAACCAACGCCTTTCTTCTTTTGCTAGGAATCCACTGACACGAGCATTGGATCTGTTTCTGTTGTCCCACAGGCCGAGGCTTCATTTGTTTCTGTTGCCAAACGTTTTTCTGTCCAATCGCTAAATTTTCATTTCAGTGATTTTTAACTTCCCTAACTTTTGGTTCATTTTAAAAGCATTTGCCCCGCCTCGTGGAGGGAGGTCATAATAACAGAGCAATAGAAGCTCTGATGTATTTCTCATTATTCCACCACGTGTTAACTTTAGAGATTTTCCTGGATATTTATATGCCGAGTAACTCTGCACTGTATTCTGGATACTTAGTATATTGGGAGACTGAGCCTTACTAAAATCTGGAGAATGCCGATTTCTTCAAAGCCGGTCAGTAGCCGGGCCTGGTGCCGCGTGCAGGGCGGTGGTCCCGGTGCACGATCCCCGAGCCTGTGCAGCGCTGCGTGCCGCGTCTGTGCCGCCCCGTGCGCGGCGCGCCCAGCCTCGGGGGAGTGTTTTCTGACCCCACGGTTGCCGTGACCTGACCCACATTTCCCGTCTCCCGGGCGCCCCTTTTCCCGGCCCTTTGCCTTAAACGGGGCAGGTTTTTGCCTCCCTGTGACCGAGTCCAGCCTGGGGCCCAAGTGGCGAGGGAAGGGCGATGGGGCGTCTCCGCGCACCCCGGGCCCCGGCGCCGCCCCGACTCCGAGTCCTCCTCTTCCTTCCGGGCGCTCTCGGAGGCCTGAGTGCCGGCCCCCAGGCGCACGGCTGCGTGACCCCGGGGTCTGCCGCGGGGCCTCCCGGGACTCTGGCCCGAGTCAGGGGGGCGCGTCCTTGGGCTCGTTCCTGAGGAGCAGCCCCGACGGGCGGACGGTCCCGGGGTCTCTGCCACGTCGCACAGCGGGGAGCAAAACCAGGGACAGTCACCATGTCGGTGCTGCTTCCACTTTTTCTTAAAAATCCTCACCCAAGGACATGTTTGTCGATATTCTCCGCGAGGAAGGGGCAGGGCCACGAACTCGGCCTCTCCTGCGCGCCGACGAGACGAACCCGCAGCCGCCTGGGTGCAGCCCGGCAAGCCGGGCCGACCCCCTGCCCGAGCTGCCTTTCTCAGGGGCTGAGACCGTGGCTTCGTTTATCGCCGGTGGTGGCGGTGGCCGGTCGGGACCGCGGGGCGGCGGGACCGCGCTTGCTCGCACCACGGGAGCCTCGGGGGGCGTTCCCGAGACCAGGGCATCTGTGCCCACAGCGCCGGTCGCCTCGCCAGAGGGCGCCCGAGGCCCGTGAGAAGAAAACCGGGCTCCCGAGCGGCTGTGGGCGCGCGGCATCGCGGCAGAGCCCAAGGGGTGGGGGGTGGGGGGCCGGCCAGCCGGCTGCGGGTTCAGCCCTGCGAGTCCTGACTGACCCTGGGGCGACGCGGGGAGGTCGCCGCGCGGCCATCGGGGGCCTCCCGACAGGGACCTGCGGGCTGAACTGCGTCTGCAGGGCAGGCCGCCTCCCGGTCACGTCCTTTTTGTGAGTGAACGTGGGGACCCTGCAGCACACGGTCACCCGTTACTCCAGCGAGGTTAACCCGGTGAAGTCCCCAGAGCAGCGTCTCCTGAGAGCAGAGGGGCTTAAGATCGTGTGTTCTAGTAAAACGTGCTTTGATTTTTAGAGGGGAAGGGAGAGACAGAAACATCGACCTGCTGTTCCGCTCAGCGGTGCAGCCGTGGCGCGGTCCCTGTCTGTGCCCGGCCGGGGATGGAGCCCACAGCCCTGGCGCATCAGGACGACGCGCTAGCCCTGAGCCACCTGGCCAGGGCAAGGTCGCGATGCGCTTCGCAGCACCTACTGATACGACGTCGGGAAAAGCCACTGCGAATGCCGCCCTCTGCCAGGACCAGGTCTCAGGACAAGGCGGGCCGTTTTTTCTGGTAGCACGACCTGACTGTGAACTGTTCTTAAACGCTCCACTTTAGCTTCACTTAGCTCCCCAAGAGGGACTTCATGTGAAGGTTTTCAAGACGCCTTCCCGCTCACACTCGGGGCCAGCGCTGGGACGTGCGCACTGGGACCTTCTGAGGCAGCCGCACGGCCGGCGTCCCAGCCTGGGCGCCCGAGTGGCCATGGGTGTCTTCAGACAGACACGATTTCGGCTCACGGAGGCGCTAGTGCCAGGCGTTTGCAGCGACCGTGATTCTGGGCTGTGACCTCAGCTGGACCCACACACGCCTCCCTCCCAGGCAAACGCCCAGCCCCGCCGGGTGGGACGGCCGCCTCCGCTGCTCTGGCCTCCGCCGCGCTCGGGAACGGAACGCCGGCTCACGTCCGTCAGAATCGCAAAGGTACGCTGTATTCAACGAAAATCGATGCGAGCATTTTATTGGACGCCAGGAAGTTGGTACTTTTAAAATTTCCCATCTCTGCACACAAATCAACCACTGTACGTTCTGGACCAACAGCTGAGGAATTAAAGGTTGTCACTCACCTCCCGTGTCCCGCGGCATCCTGAGTCCCAATGGGCCGCCGCCCCGCCGGCTGTGCCGGGCGAGGACTCGACCGTGGCGCCCTGGAGGGGCCGCTCCTCGCCATGTGGGCCACCCTTTCGTATTTCTGTTTGGTTCAGGGCAAAGCTGCAGACATGAAGTTTCTAGTCTCTCAGAAACTCCCTGAAGTGAGCAACACGCAGGGGCTGCCGTGCAGAGCTGCCCTTCCCCCAGCCACCAGCAGGGCAGCCCGGACGCAGCTCAGCGGCTCCTGGTGTGTCAAGCTCCTGGGACTTCAGAGCTAAATCGACCAAACTTGCATGGAAAACGGTAGCTTTCTAATCCATGCATTTTCCGGCCTTCCCCCTAATACCCTGAAATTTCTGTGTGCCAAGCAGTGAGCCACGTAAGGCAGCGAGAAGGGAGAGAACGCGCCCTCGCCCCTGGAAGACCCTGCTCCTGCGGCCCGCGAGCCTGCGCTGCCCTCTCCCCGCGGTCAGGGACCAGCCCCGCCCCGCCCCGCCCCTCCAGACCCACGGCCTCCGTTCTGGGCTGAAGCCACCGCCCGATGGCACCGGCTGATGGGGCTGGAAAGCCCGCGAGGCTCCCAGGCGGGTGGCGGGCGCGCTGCTGTGCAACGTGTCCACGCGTCCGTTCGCTGCCGCCTGAGCCCTGTCCCGGGGGCGGCCGGGTGTCCGCACGCCGGCCGGGAGCGCCGGGCCAGGGGCGGGAGCGCAGCCGGTGGGCCTGGGCCCCCCGGAGGAGCGACCTGACCCCACACGCCGGGACGCAGCACAGTCCACACCGCTTTGCAAACCGCAAACCTCGGGAGTAAAGACCAGCAGAAACACGTCCGGGGGAGGGCCCGGGAGAGGGCCAGCGGCCGGGGCCCCGCCCACGCGCCTGTCACACACGCGGGCTCAAGCACTTGATGGTTTCGTTTTATTTTTAAATGGCTGAGTTATAGATCCAGCTGCTGTGCATCAATTTCATAGTTTTCAATACGCGCCGTCCGCAGTGACCCCGTGACAGCTCCGCACTCGGACCGACACACAGTACTTAAAACAGATTCATCATATTTGGTCTTTAGGTAAATAATAAATGTTTCAAAATTGCCTAAATATACCATTCTGAGCCGCTTATCCCACCAGGAAAATACAGGGTTTTCCCTCTCTTTAAAAAAAATTAAATACCAAAATAACTACATTTAAATAAATAACGTTACGATGATGACATTTAAAAATTCACAATAAGGCCGAAGCCCTCTTTCTGTGTGCACGGCCGCTCAGCCCAGAGCCCCGGAACACTCCGGAAGGGCGAGTGGTTTTCTTCCGGAGGAGCTGGGCCGAGGCCGTGAGGGGCCTCCTACTTCTTCTCTCCCCTCTGCTTCCTGGCTCTCGCTTTGACTTTCTGCAGGAGAGAAGTCGGCCTTAGCGGTGGATTCAGCTCCGAACGGCTGAGGGGGATTCACTGTTCCAGGTCAGGAAACAACCCAGATGTTTCCAACGCTCGGCCGCAGGGCCACGCAGCCCGGACCCTCGTCTGCGCCCGAGGCCTCTGCGCGGCCCGCGGCCGCTCTCGGGTGGGTGGGGCCTTTGGGCAGCCAGCCAGCTGGACCAGGCCCCGTGGTGACAGCCCCGAAAACAGCAAACGTGCCACCAAGATCTGAGACATTTGTTTGAAAGGGTGTGTGATCAAAGATTGAATTGTTTCCCCAAATAAAGCAGGAATAGGTCTGTCATTTTAAACACACAATACTTAGGAGACTTGTTTTACTTAAGAGTGGAAAATGCCAGGGACAAAGTCAACACAAAGAACAAACAACAGAAATAGTAAGAGATACAGTTAAGTGCAGCCCGCGAGGCCGGCAGCTCATCCGTGCGGCCGCGGCACCACCTGTCCGTCCCAGCTGGGCTGCCAGTTCATCAGGCAGCTGTCCTCCCGGCGCTCCTCCCGATCTGACCCAGACAAAGCAAGTCATTCCGTAGGCTGAAAACAAACAGAACTACGTTGTTTCTTTTCTCCAAGCGAAAGCCACACTGCAGGCCCTGGGAGTCCGAAACCTCCGAGGGGAGATGGAGTGCTCTGAAATGTCGCAGACCCCGTTATTTTGTAAAGAAAGAAAGTACTCAAAATACTCTAATTCCACATGAACAACAAAATACTGTCTCGCCTGCCGGCCCCGCGGGTCCTTGGGTGACGGGGCGGTCCCTGCGCGTCCTGGCCCCACTCGCACCGGGCGCCGCCCTCCCTCGGAGGGACAGAGTCTCTGCTCGGAGCTACGAGACGAGCCCCGGGCTGGGCACAGCCGGGACCAGGTTGTGTGGCTTTCGAGTTCAGGGGCGACTTCGTCTTTAGGAGTTTTAAGGCCACCTGGGTTTGGTTTGCAGCGCTGACGTCAAGTCCAACCGCAGGGCCCTCTGCCCACCGAGAGGCGCGCGCCTCGGCGAGAGCAGTGTCTCCTTTTGGCACCAGAGTTGACAGTAAAGTAGGAAAGCTCTCCCGGCCGCTAGTTCTGGACGCCCTTCTCCCTCGCGGCCGCCGGTGGGGGGTCCACGCTCAGGGCGATGACGATGCTCTCGCCGTCTTCGGTCTTGACCCGCTTCAGCTCCGGCTGTTCCGACTGGTCGCCGTTCTGGCGCTTCGTGGGCAGGGAGGCCGAGGCGGATGCGTGCGTCGCCAGCATGTGCAGAGGACTCGCCGCCGCTGCAGAGAGACAGTGAGTCAGACCCAGCGAGGCCCCGGCCCTGCCCCGAGGCGCGGCTGCTCCCTGCGGCCTGTCCTCAGCTCTCCGCTGTGCGAACGCCACGCTCAGCCGGCACTTCTAGCACTTCAGAGTGGGCTCTGCCACCAGCGCCCGGCAGGAGGCTGAGGCTCGGGGCCACACAAGGGCGGGACCCACGGTGAAGGCTGCGCTCCTGGCCAGGGGCTGCAGCTGAGGTCCCCGGCCCCCCGTCCTGACTACTGTAGCCTCTCCACACGCGAGGACGGAGTGGGCCACGGGCTCCGGCCGACAGCGCGCGGGCTGCCCAGCTCCGCTGCTGAGCCCTCCTTCCCGCCCTGCACTCGGCAGACAGGGCCCTCCCGACAGACCGACAGGGCGCATCCTGCCCCCCACTCTGCACGACCAGGCAAACCCAGGGGCAGAGCACACGGGTCGCTCCGCCAGTGCCGGTTCCTCAACGTCAGAGGGCGGCAGCTGGGCCAGGAGCAGCCGGAAGCCACCGCGCGCCTCCCCCACGCGACCCAGGGACACGGCGTCTGGTCCAGGGAGACCCTTGCCTTGGCCTTTCACCCAAGCCCGCACTTCCCCAGGGTGGTGCGGGACAAGATGGGGGACCCCCCAAGAGGAAGACGCGCCTGCACAGCAGCCTGGGACGACAACCGGCGGCCGAGACCTCCCTTCCTGACCCCCCCGCCCCTACGACAGCCCAGGGCAGAGGCCCAGCAAGGACTGACTGCGCACCGGCGACCAGGCCGCCGTCCAGCGGGGCCGAGGGGCTGAAGATCGGCCAGCGCGCGCTGGGTTTCCTGGGGAGGAGGGCGAGCGGCCCCAGAGGCTGCCAAAAGCACCACGAGAAAACGACCAACCAACGTCCCCGCGGAATCACAACACGAATGTCCTCGACCGAGTTCTTGCACAGGAAGCGGAGTCTGGCCCTGGAAGGGCTCTTCCCCACGAGCAAGCGGGACTCACACCAGGGGTCCAGGGGGCAACAGGAGGGGCTCCCACGGCCACCGCAGCGCAGGGCAGCACCGATGAGACCTGGGGCGTCGCACGGGGCCGCGCAGGCTCGGGAGGAAGTGCCTCTGCCCCCCGAAGCCCGCGGGTGGCGCCCACGGCGACATCAGCCCCGACGGGGCGCGCCCGCGCCCGCACAGCACGTCCGCGGGGAGAGAGGCGGGGCCACGCCTGCCGGCAGCGACCGCCCCCCGCATCGGAGCTCCTCACACTCACCCGAGAACCCCCAGGCAACACTGCTGCGGTAACAGATGGACACAGCAGTTGCAGGGCATCAGATCAAAACACAAAAATCCGTTGTATTTCTATGCGGGTGAGCAATTCAAAAAGGAAATTGAGGAAACAATCCCAATTACAAACCATCGCAACACCTCCGTCTCTCACCCCGGGGCCTGCGCTGCCTGCTCCGCCCGCCTGCATCCCGGGCCGGGGCGGGTCCTCTCGGAGCCACGAGCTCACTGGGCCGCCCGCCCTCGCCCTGGGGCCCCTTCCTCCGTGGGCTCCTCTCGGCCAGAGCCACGTGACGCACAGACAGGGGCAGCCCTTCCTCTCTAGGCTCCCGTCTGACAGCCCCGCCACAGGTGCCCCAGGAGCCCGCACCCAGGAGCAAGTCCCGGGTACCCCCAGACAAAGCCCTAACAGCCGGGCCCAGAACCCCGCACGCGCCCGCCGGAAAAGAGCGAAGGCCCCACTCACCGCTGCTCCCCGGGCCGTGCGCTGCGGGGACCGGCGCCCTGTGCGTCCCGTTCTGCGTGACCGCCTTGACGGGCAGCTGGTGCTGGCCCAGGGGGGCGTGCTGCGCGATGGCGACCGTCTGCACGGGGCTGCCCTGCGCCGCCTGGACGACCCGGCCCATCGCGGGGAGGGGCTCCACTTTCACTGCAAGGCAGGGGGGGCGCTGAGCGCGGGCCCTGCAGCGCGGCCCTCGCCCCAGGGGACCGCGGGGGGGCGCCGGCTCACCTTTCACCTCCCGGTGGTCCCCGTTCTCCTGCGGCTCGGCCTTCGGGGGGGCCAGCACGGCCGCCTGCGCGACCACGGCCTGCCCGGCGACGCTGGTGACGGACACAGCTGGGATCTGGTGGACGACGTGCACCGTCTGCACCACGGGCGGCTGCGGGGGCGGGGGGGCCGCGGGGGCGGCGACCGCGTAGGCGACGGGCTTGATGGCGGGGGGCAGCGGCCGCTGCACGGCGATGAGCACGGGCTGGCCGGACAGCGGGGAGCCTGCGGGCGGCGGGCGGTGAGGCCGGGCCCGCAGCCCCCGCGCCGCCGCCGCCCACCCCGACCACACGCAGAGGGACCGCCGGCGGTCCCGCCACCCGACTCATGGGGACGGACGTGCAGCGGTTTCCCGGGCCGCCCGCCGCAGACCCACGCGCCAGCCACGTGTCTCCCAACAGCTCCTCCCGAAGTCCCTTCCTCCCGGAAAGGCACGTGGGCGCGGCTGCAGGAGGCTGCTGCCAGGGCGTGGGCAGCCGTCCCGCGACAGGCGCCGCGGGCCGGGAATCCCAACACAGCCAAGCGCCCGTCTCGCCGACCAGGCAGGAACCAGAACCCCCTCGGCTGGGACACGTTTCTACACTGTGCGTCTAAAATTTTTAAAGTCCCAGGGCACACGTTTTTATTCTGTGTTACGACTTTATAACGTTCACCAATCATTAAATGGACTTCTTTTGCTGCAAATCAACGTCCACTTTGTTATCTTTGGAGGGGGCAGGGAATCCTCTTCATAGACTTTAAATGACGAAGCAACTAAGAAACAGGTTCACGTGAGCCACTCCCGGCACCCACAGCGTCACGCAGGACACTCACTGGCGTTGTTGGCTTTACTGGCGTTTTTGTTTTCTGTTTTAGCCACAGCGCCGCCAGTTCCTCGGAGCCCGGGGAACCACACTCCGGCCCTGCACACCGAGCGCCACGAGGGGCAGAGCAACCCGAGCCCCCCGTTCCTGCCCCCGGAGCCGGGCCGCCTCACCTGGTGCGCTCTGGGCCGACCGCGCCTCCTGGATGACGGCCAGCTTGGGCTGCGCGGCGCCGGGCTCGGGCTCCAGGGGGGCCGGCGAGCCTTCCCGGGACAGGCTCTCGGGGGTCTGGGCGCCGCTGGAGTGAGCAGACAGCACTCCGGCGTGGTTGGGAGAGGCCGGGGCACTTCTGTGTCACCAAAAAGAAGAGAGCGGGTTTTTAAGGTGCTCCTAACGCTGCCTCATCTTAACGAGTGTCTTTTGTCTCCTGCCAACCAATTGCTTCCTCAGGATCTTACTTTCTCTGGGACGCCTGTGGCTGAGGTGGACGTCCAGCGACACGTGCGGCCCTGCCAGGGCCGCCGCCCACGGCCCGTGGCGAGGCAGCGGGAGCAGGCACCACGTGAGCCAGCGGTGCAGGCTTCAGTTGGCATTGTTTGTTTCAAAAGGTATTTATTTATTGTTTGGACAGCGGGGAAGGGAGGGAGAAAGAGACGGAGGGAAACATCCAAGTGCGGTCGCCTCTCGTGCGTCCACCACTGGGGACCTGGCCCGCAACCCAGGCCTGCGCCCCGACTGGGAATCGAACCAGCGACCTTTCTGTTCGCAGGCCGGTGCTCAGCCCACTGAGCCGCACCAGCCAGGGCTGATTTTTAGTTTAAAAACAGTATCCATTAAAGAAGCTAAAAATGTGTAATTTTGAAACCAGGCTATTACCCTGTACAAACCAATATTGAGTTTAAGCAGCAAAAAGGCAGCTTGAAAGAGCTTTTCAGGGCAGAGGGAAAGGGAAGCACAGCATCGGCGCTGGATGCCATCGGAGCGGCGCTGGCGCATCCCGCGCGAGGGGCTCAGCGAAGCGGCCGCGCGTCATGGGCACGGAGCGCACGAAGCCTGACGCACGGCCTGCGTGGCTGCCGACGGCCAGACACCGGGGACAGCGGCGGCGCCTTTGTGTGTCCAGGCGCCCACCCCACAGCCACTCATGACGCGTCTGGTGCGCCCTCCACCTTCCAGAGGAAAACAGACCGGCGCACAGCAGGCGAACTCGCTGGCCGTCACGTGAGGCTCGGTTTCCTTACCTGGACGAGAGCGGGCCCAGGGGGGTCCTGAAGCAAGGCACGCCGCGCGGCCGACGCTTCCGGAAGGCCTGCTCCACCAGCTTGCTCTCCGACGCAGGGTCCACCCTCCAGAAGGAGCCCTTGCCTGGCTCTTCCTGGGACCGTGGCACTTTGATGAAGTAACGGTTCAGAGAGAGGTTGTGGCGGATGGAATTCTATGAAGCAGACAAACACACAGAGTTCATCTACTTTGCCGAGCAAGACACGCTTCGATGTGCTGCCTTGCAAGGGCGCCCCCCACAGGAGGGGCAGAGGCTGGGAGACAAGGAAGGAGGCTACTTCCAGTGGGACAGTGTCAGCTGCCACCTTTTCTCCAGGCAGCAAACAAAGCCTCTCACTGGGGTCGCCTGACCGCCCTCGCCCCCCATTTAGAGGCAGCCGAGCCCAGCCGCACGCACAGAGCTCACTGTCGGAGCTGGGCCCCGCCACTGAGGGTGGACGGAGCCGGGACCGAGCCGCTGGCCCAGCCGCCAAGGTGGAAACGAGCTCGAAGCCAAGACGCACCCGCAACACCCTCCCCAGCGACAGCTGCGCGCAGCGTGCGTTCCGCCCGAGCCCCGAGGCCTCGGGAGGCACGTGGCGGACGTCCCCTCGGCTCCTGTTCCCTTCTGCCTCCAAGGAGCCAGCTCGTGGTCCCCATGGCCCCTGCTGCCGCAGCCCCGCTGGTCCAGGGCCCCCGAAAGGCCGGGGACGCTGGCCGAGAGTCCCGCATGCAGCTCACTGAATGCGCTCCCAGGGAGGTTTACCTTCACAACAAATAGAGTCGAGGGAAATCTTTGTATTATCCAGCCATTTCTGAATTCCCCGCTCAACTGTCTATCAGAAATGCCAGCCAGGGCCTGAATTTCCGAACTTCTGGAGGTGCCGCAGAAACGAGACCATGTCCGACACGGCTTCACAGCACCCGCGTGGCCGTCCACACGGCACAGCAGCCCGGCTGCGGTGTGGACCCGAGGCCACCGCGCCAGTTACTGCACGGGCAACGTGAGGGTGGGCTGCGTGCTGGGAGGGTGCAGTTTCTGTAACCGAACGTACGACGCGAGGTCCAGAACACTTCCGCCACCCCAGGCACTGCTAGGCTGTTTCACCGCAGGCTTCGGCGGCCAGCAGCCCCTCCGGGAAGCCCGGTTCGCCCCGTCGGGGGTGGGAGACGGCCGTGCGGCCGCCCTCAGTCCTGTTCAGGTCGGGGGAGAGGGCAGGTTCCAAGGCTGGGACCGAGGACGCACACGCCAGGTGGGGACATGCCCCGGGCTCTGAGAACAAGGCCACCCTCACGGCTGCGGGGGGGGCGCAGGGGGGTCCTGCCCTTGCTCGGGCTGCTCTGTGGGAACTGGCCATCCAGGTGGGCCCTCGGGAGCGACCGCGCCAGCTCCAGCGCAGAACGCTGTGTGCCTGTCACCGTGCGGACTGGGGGTACAGGCACTGTCACCGGAGGCCCCTCGGGACAGGGACAGGGACAGGGCCACCACGCTGCTCCGTCGCCCTCACCGCGAGCAGCTGCGAAGGGCGTTCTCAGACCACGGAGCGGCTGCGTGGTCCTGACAGAGGCCAGGAGCCAGTCTGCACCATCCGAGTGGGGTCTGACCCTCCTCCTCCTCCAGGCAAAGGGGCTCAGCCATAAACGGCTCCCTGTGATTTGCCACCAACAAGACTTAAAAAATAGGAGACGTTTAACCGAGACACAGACAGACTAGGTAACTATGTTTCTAAAGTGTTCTGATCAAACCAAGCTCCAGCTTTGAAACCACCACGGGCCTCCATGAGTCTGAGGAAAAGGCTGGTCATTCAAAACTGAACACGAAGAAAAGGAGCTGCCAGGCCAAGCACCTCCCTTCCCCAAACCCGGACGGTGGCCGCCCAGGGCCACTGCCCTCCTGCCCCGAGGCCGACCCCAGGCGGGCGGCCCCCGCGCCCCACCAGCCCCCGCACCCCCAGGGCAGTGTGTCTGCCTCGCCACCCGCCCGCCCGCCCTCGGCACAGAGCCCCCTGCAAGGTGCGCTTGGCACGGAAAGTGCTGGGAAAGACACCGAGGGGCAGGGAGCCTTCCGGAACCTTCCGAAGGGCAGTCCCCGGCGTGGGGGCGGTGGGCACAGAGCAGCCCCCTGACCTCAGGAAACCAGCTCTGCTCTTCCCCGAGGCCGAGAGCCCCAAGCCCCAAACTCTGCGCTCGCAACACAAGCCTCCCTTCTGCCCCGGGGAACTGGAACCGCCATCTTAAGACGACGTCCCGGCATAAATGCGCAACCGAAGGAAAGAAAGGTGCCGGCTCTCCAGACGGCCGCTCAGACCGTCTTGCTTTGCTCTAGAACCTCCCGGACTAACCAGGGTGCCTGCCGCGCGCAGAGCCGGAGCCCAACATCGGCCTGGGGGCGGCGGCGGCGGGCGCCCCGCTGTGCTCGCGAGGGCTGTGGGGGGCGCCGTCCTCGGGGCGCGACAGGGAGCCCTCCCCCCGGCCAGGGGGTCAGGACGCCGCCTGGAAATCACATTTTAATAAAGGACTGTTTTCGTTATTTTTCTCAAAAGAAAAGGGATCTGGTTCTTTTTTAAAACGAGGTTGCAGAATTGAAAGGACATTTGGTCCGAAGACAGGAAGAGAGATAGGGACAAGGTCTTCCACGCACAGGCGCTTTCGGAGGAGCAGCTCAAAGAATCACAGGACAGAAAAAGGGCCCGCGCGGCTGCAGACTGGCCGGGGGAGACCAGAACCGCGAGGGCGTGTCCGCGACGACCAGGAAGGGCTGGCGCCGGGCGCCCTCTCCCACTACAGCCGCCGGGACGGGAGGCATGACAAGCGGCGTGTCGCCCTTACGACCTTCGTCTCGACGGAAAAGGAGGTGTTTCAATAAAAGCAAGTGTCAACGACACAGTTCAACAGAGGGGTCTGACCCGCAGCGGCGTCTGTGGTCTGGGGGGCCCCGCCCCGGAGCCAGCGGCAGCCGGCGCTACAGGGAGCCACCGGGCTGTGCCCCTGGGCCCGGCCGCCTTCCGCGAGAAAACCTTGTGATGTTCGGAAGCAGCTCACACTCGAGAGGATGTTGGGAAACCCAGGGGAAAGCGCCCACAAGGGAAATGGGTCCGTGAGTCTGGCCTGCGGCTCTCCGCACGTCAGGGCCCCGTGCTCAGGGGCAGGGCTCCCCGCAGCCGGCAGGGCGGGTCCTGTGGGGCCGGGTGCCGCTGGGAGCAGGCCTGCCCCCGGCGGGAAGGAAGCCGCCCCCCCCACCTGAGGGTGCTCTCGGGGGAGGGGGGCCCCGGAGGGGAGGCAGGGTCTCGCGTGCACCTTCCACCACTGAAGACCCGCGCACGACTGAGACCCTGGAGAGGACACCTGAGGGGTGGGCTGGTAGACTCTGTCCAGACACATCTTTGTGTCTGCAGGCGGTAGGGAAGGTTTTACTCTCCACTAAAAAGAAAGGGGCCCCGGCCCCCACTACTGGGTTCTGGTTCAAACAGCCCGTTTCCCACAAGACCACTCACTCATCCGGCCTCAGAGGAGCCTTGCTGGCGACCTCGTGAATTTCAGAGTCACACGCGCGCTCCCTCTCCGCACTGCGCCCCCACCGTCTGACCGGGGAGGCCCTGCTCACCCCAGCCCAGGCCGCGCCCCGCGCAGACACAGGAAAACCCACACGCTGCAAAGGCGTGATGATGGAACTAACTTGAAAAGCTCCAGGCCGGGGTCCCGTGCCCTGATTTCAAAGCACCCTCTGAGGCGGCCCAGGTCCCAGACACCCAAGAAGGGGCCGGAGGCGCAGGCGGCCCAGAAGGTGGGCTCCCCGCTTCCAACGGGCAGCGCGGGGGCGGGGGGGGTGGGTCCACGTCCCACGTCCTGGCCCCCTGGGGAGGTGTCTTCTGAAAAAAGGCTTCCTCACTCAGGGAAACAGCCTGAAACCCACCTCCAGGTGGACTTCAAAAGCTGCTGGACTCTCAACTCCACCCCCGGCTGAGGCAAGGGGCGCGGCCCCCACACCTGCGCCCCTCCCGCCCTGGGCGCGCCCCAGCACAACACGCGGCAGGCATCCCGCTCGGCACCGAGGGAGCGGGGGAGCGGGCCTGCGGGCCGCGACCTCTCATAGCGGGCGGACCCTCACGCATCTGGCTCGGCGCCGTCCCCGCCGGCACCCGCGTGAACCCGCCGCCCGGCTTCCTCTCGGCCGCCACGCTGCGCCCGCGAGGGCCGGACGGGAGGCACCCGTCAGAGGCAGAGGCGGCCTTACCTGCCAGCCCTTGTCCGCCGTCCGGTAGTAGGGGTAGTTTTTAGTGATGTGCGTGTAGATCCCGTTCAGGGTGAGCTGCTTGTCGGGCGCCATGGTGATGGCCTGCACGATCAGCTGCGCGTAGGAGTAGGGCGGCTTCGAGTCGTCCTGCGTTGATGCGAAAAGAAAGTGTCACTCAAGGTATCGGAACTTTCACTGAACACACGGACGTTCAGGACTCACGGTGTTTTAAGTGTGCATTACTGTGCACACGTGTGTGCACATGCGCCAGGTTCAGTGTGCGGGACCCAGCGTGTGTCACCCCGCAGGGGCCGAGGGCTGTCTGGTCCCCGCCGTCTGCTCGGCTCTGGGCAGTGCCCGACCCCGGGGGCAGGCCCGCCCGGCCCGGCTGGGGAGGCCGCAGGCACGCAGGCTGCGCCAAGGGCACCGGCTGCCTGGCGGCCTCTGGGTTCCGTTTCAAGGCCATAAAACATTTACCTTCGGGCTGTCTCCACCTGAAGCTTCCTTTTCATTTTCTGGCTGCGAGTTATCAGCCATCAAATTGAGGTCAGATGGTATCACGCGGCCCATTTTGTACCCTGAAGACCCTGCTCCCCGGGGGCTGGACGGGCAGGAGTTCGCAGCACTGCGGGCGAGAAAAGGCCGCGCCTGTCAGTCCACCACGGAGCGAGCGCCCCGCGAGCCTCGACGGCAGCCTCCGGTCTCAGGGACGGCCGACTGTGCAAGCGCAGGAACACCAGCGTTTCCGGGCAAAAATGAACACGTTCGTTCTGTGAAGCTGAAGGTCACCCAGGAAATACCAGGGAATCGGGCATTTGCTTCCTACGTGCTGTCTCATGGGGCCGTAAAACACTCTCAACGGAGGCGGCGCCACCTGTTCCCCCAGGGAGGAAACGGAGGCTCGGGTCGGCCCTGCAGCGGACCGAGCACAGAGCCTCTGGGCTGAGGACGGGCTGCGCAGGACGTGCCTGCAGCCGCCCCTGAACGGCCAGGGAGAGGCTGGAGCGGGGAGGGCGCCCGCTGCGGCCGGGCCTGCGGGGGTTGAGGCCGTGGCACAGACGTGCGTGGGGTCTGGGGGGCCCTGGGAAACAGGAGCAGGAGCCCAGGGGCACACTCGACTTTTCACAAGGCCAGGCTGGGGCACCAGAACACCGATCCCTCGTCTCCGTGCTGACTCAGGGCCAAGTCTGTCCGCTTTTCCGAGCAGTATCACACGGTACAGAGAAGGAGCCATTGAGATGGAAGGCCACCAAGAAAGAGTGTTTTAAAAACCCAGCAAATTACAGAAAAGTACAGATGGTTAGAGTTCATTTGCGCTGGGGGCAGGGGGAACGCAAGCGCTGCAAACGTAAAGAAAACTTCTGGGAAAAATGCCTAAGAAACAGCAGTTACCTCCAAAAAACGGACCTGGAAAAAGGAGGCAACGGGGCAGAGCCGGGGCAGGGAAGCAGTGCCAGGCCAGCCGGCGCCCGCCCCGCAGCCCGGCCGACGGACTGTGTGCCCCGAGCGTCCCCCCCGCCCCCGGCGCCGGCACCGCCCCCAGCACCCCCAGGAGGAAGGGGCGGGACGGACGCAGCCCCCCTCACAGGACACTCTCCCCTTGACCCGAGGGCCAGCTGACAGGCGAGGGGCGTGAACCGGGCAGGACAGCAGCCTGGCGGCTGCACACGGGCCGGAGAAGGCAGATCTGCCCCCAGCAGGCCCTCCGCTCCGCCAGGCCCCGCGCGGGCGCCACGGGGCGGGGGGTGGGGAGCGTGAGAAAGAGGACAGACTGGAGGCGCGGCCGCAGGCCGAGGGAGCGGGTGGGGCTGATCCCAACTCTGGGGCCACCGACCGCCCGCCTCCCCCGAGCAGCTTCCACTGGGGCTGTGCCTGGGGCCCGCGCACGGGCCTCCACCCTCTGAGCCGGTAAAACCCGGCCGCGGCGCGCTCTCCGGGGCCCGTCACCCAAGGCCCGCGGAACCCAGCCCGGGGGAACCCAGCGTCCTCAGCCCCCGCCCCCGCACACAGGGCCCCGCGGAGCCCTTCCCTGCCCCCCCACGGGCCCTGGACTGCAGGCCCCGGCCCTGGGGACGAGCGGCGGCGTGCACCTTGCTCCCAGGTCCAACATCACTCACAGGTAAGGCGCCCAAATACACCTGCCAGGCTCCCGAGAGACGACGGGACCCCGAGGCCCTGCCCGTCTGAGCCCCGCCCCAGCTGCCCGCTCCAGGGGCCCTCGGCGACTGTGCTCTGCGAGCGCAGCACAACCTGAACACCGCGCTGCGTCCCCGGGCTCCCCGGGGGACAGTGTCCCGGAAACCATCGCCCTCCACGTCCCGAGGAGCCGCCTTTCTGACACACAGGTTTGTCACTTCACTGGGACCCAGGGGACCCAGCTCCTCGATCCACGTCCAGGTCATCAGAACCCACTGAAGCTGCCGCAAACAAAAAGAACCCTCAAGATGCCAATGAAAACCCCAGACTTCAGACGAATACGACAAACCACGTGCCCCTTCACCTTACAGTCAGGTAAAAAGGGTCCATGAGCAAGACTGGGCACATCTGGGAATCGGGCTTCCCAACACAGGGAGCTGAGAGCAGGCAGCGTCCAAAAAGGCCACGGTGTTGCCAGGGCCCCTCCCTCCCCACGGCCGACGCCAGAGGCTGGGGCGGCGCCTAGGCCCGGGCTCCAGGAGGGCCGACAGGACCCTGGAGCTGGCCCGGTGCGGCGCCGCCCACGTACCTGATGGTCCCCGTGGGGGAGGGCAGGGGGCTGAGGAGGTGGGCCATGGAGTCTGGAATGCTGATGGTCAGGGGCGAGACGTGGGCCTGCACGGGCTTCCCCGGGGACGCGGGCGCCTCCGGCGGCTCCCTCTTCTCACTGGAGCTGGACAGGGCCGTGAACGTGATCTTGATGTTCGTGCTCGGGAACCGGAACGTGCACCTGCAACGGAGCGACCAGCGTCAGCGCCCACCGCCGGACCAGGGGGAGGGGCCCTTCCACACGGAGCGGCACCTGGAGGCTCCCAACTCCCTCCCAGATGGGGGGGGGGGGCGCGTGTTGAGGCCACAAACCAGGCCCCTCAGGGTTACCCAGTCCCGGGACACCGAGGCCCCGCTCACACCGGCCGAGCAGGAAGAAGGACCGGGAGCCTCAAACAGCCCAAACGCCACGGCTCTTCCACACAGACGCACACACGTGCTTCAGGTCTCCCAGCAGCTCACGCTCAAACACATTTACTGTCCATTACTCCTTTTAAAACACACACACAAGGGCAACCGTGCCAGGGAGCAGGAGCAGGAGCAGGGGTGCGGGGCTGCTTCCTACTTGAGAAAGGAAAATTCCTTTTCCTTTAGAAACGTGTTATCAGCTTTTTCACTGAGCAAACAAGAACCAGTCATGTTAAATTTCGGAGAAAAAGGTTTACAATTTAACAGTCTGGTTCACCTTTAATAGAGCTCCCTTGCTGTGACTCAAGAAGGAAAAAAAAAGGCACGTAAGCCAAACGCCTTCAAAGAATAAAAGTTAAAAATAGCCCCACAGGCTCTTGGTCTCAGAGTCTGGACGTCACGCCCAGCCACCAGCGCCTGGGCCGGGAGCTATTTATACTCGGCTGGCGAAGGAGCGGCCGGGGCGCAGCCGCCTTCCCGCTCACCTCCCGCCCTACTTGGGCGCTCACTGAGGGAGGGTCCCTCCCACTTCCGGGGACACCCGCGAGGTGACACTCGCCCGCACTCAAGGACGCCCCTCGGAGCGCCTGGACACTCGCTGCCGCCTGCCTCCCCGCCTCTGCGGCCGCTGCAGACGGGTCCCAGCCTGGGCCTCCCTCGGAGGCCGGGCCCCTGGACAGCGGTCCCAGGCCGGGCCCTCAGGAGCCAGGCCGCACGGTGGGCAAGCTGGAACGTGAGGTGCTCGAACCAGCCCGAAACCAGCCCCCCACCAGTCGGTGGAAATCTCCCACGGAACCGGTCCCTGGTGCCAAAAAGGCTGGGGGCCGTTGCTCTGTGGCCTCAGTGGCCAGAGCAGCACAGAGCCTCCGCCCCCCTCCCGGCCCCCGGACCCCACCGGGGCGCCGGCTTTCACATCCACAGCCCACACGGAGACGCCGCCCCACGTGGGGACACCGGCTTCTGCGCTTCTCCGCCCCATCTGGGCCGTGACCCCCAACCCTGCCACACCCGTTTCCTGCCCGCGGATCCCACCTCCCACTGCCCCCCAGGACGCCCACCGCTCCCACACAGGCACCTCATGCAAGACCCCCACGCCAGCTCCTCCCAGCACCCCCTCAGAGTGGGGCCAGGTTGAAGACGTTTCAAGACAACGACAAATGCTCTGGAAAAGAAGGCAGAAACCCTGAAGAGTCCCCGCTGTTCTCTGTCACAGCAGGAACCTCAAGTCCCACCGACCGCTCAGCCTGCAAGACGCGAACAGGAGTTTCCCGGGAAAACCCCCGAGACGCCGCGGTGCTCCCGGACGCAGGCCACGCGGGTCTGGCGGCGGCGGGGTCAGCGTCCGGCTGAGGCGCTGCCCGGGCTCCGGTCTCTGCTGAGGCGCTTTTACTGCACGTTTTGCTTTGGAACGACTTAGAAACCACAGCACTTACGAAACAACGCTGGGCAGGGCCCGCGCACACGGTTCAGCCCTGAAGTCGCAGCGCGTCGCTCTGAGCGGGGCCCGCAGGACAAGCAGCCCGGCTCGCTGGGGGCCTCGGCTCACCCCCTCTGCCCCGGAAGCACGCTGCGTCCTGGCCGGGGCAGCCGGGGCGCCCGCACTTGCCTCGGCCGAAGGAAGCTTGCGATCCAACACCAGAAACACCTCCGCAGGCTGGGGGAGAGCACGGGAGCAGCCCACGCGCCCCACGCGGCCGAGGCCCAGAGAGGAGCGCTGCCGCCTGCGCGCCCGCCCCGCCGGCTGCTCCGGGCCCCGCCAGGGCAGCCTGTCTCTCCTCTGCGCTCCGTGGGGCGCAGGCCGCTCAGGGCTGGGCGGGGGGTGGTGGCGGCGCTGGGTCGCTGAGTCCCGCTCCAGCAGCGCCTCCTGCTGTGGCTTCCAGTCCTGCAGGACCTGCTCTAGACTTACGAGGGTCTCCATGAGGTGCCGGGGTGACCCCCTCAGGCCGCTCTCGGGCGATGGCAGCCCGCCACACCCACGGCCCCAGTGCCCACGGGCGGCCCTCAGCCCCAGCAGGCGCCCGGCGAGCAGGACCGCCGTGACGCCGGGGCAGGTTCTCCGAGAGACACGCAGCCGCCCAGACTGAACGGAGAGCGGCCGTCCCCGCGGGCGGTGCCCGGGCCCCTTCCTCCTCCCGCTAACGCAGAAGAGCAGCCGCCGCCACATGTCGTTTGCTGCGCCCCTAAGCAGGCAGTCAAGGGAGGGTCAGTAACAAGTAACACCCCCCAAAAATGAAAAATCAGGGACACGATGCAGTCGCAATACTTAAATCTCACGAACGACTGGTATTCAGAACGTAACTCTTCAAATTCAGCAAGAACACAAACGACCCACTGAAAGTGGTCAGACGGATCTTCGCGAGATGCAGGAGCGGCTGACCCACGCGGGAGAAGACCCGCGTTGCTGGTCCTGACACGCGGCCCCAAACCATGCGACGTGCCACCCGCAGCCCCGGAGCAGCGGGCATGCAGAGACGACAAACCACACGGGGCGGGGTGCCGAGCCCCTTGCTCGGCCGCCGGCAGGACAGAGTGCGGGAGCCGCCGGCGCGGCGGGAGCGTGCCTCCCGGCCCCCGACTGAGGCTTCTGGCCGCCGCTGCCTCGTTCGCCAGCGCTCACAGCTGCGCGCGTCCCGCCAGTCCCGCCGGGGACCTGTCCAGACGCTCAACTACTGGGGGACGGACCTGGTGGGGGTGCCTCCGCACAGAACCCTTCTCAACAAGGGAAACCCCCAGGCGCGTCGTTTGTCACTAAACTCTAAAAGGGCGCCCCGATGTCTTTCTGGGGTGCACACCCGTTGTGGAAACTAAGTGTGTGGGCGAGAGGCTGCACTCGGATGCAGCGCATGTTTTTGTTTTTCAGGCTCTTCCAACGCGGTTGCCCGTTTCGTGACGGGAGACTTGGGAGCACGGAGTGTCCAGAGGTTTCTGACCAAAAGCGCACGGCCCCCGTGCCCCGCCCTCCCTGCTCCCCGGATCTCCCTGAGAACAGCTTTCTGTTTTCCGGGATGAAAAAAGTCCTCAAAGGTCTTGCCGATGGGGAAGAGGGGACACAGGAAATGGCAAAAGCATTAAACACCACCAAAATCAGTGAGTTCAAAAACTGTTTTGGGCCGTGGGGAAAAGTCTCCATAGGTGTATTGCATCAAAAGGAAAGTCCTTTGAAGGTGACTGAAGTTTAAACATGTAAGAATAAACACACACTTTAAAATAAATTCCGGGTTCTTCCAGGTCCCCCCTCGTATATGAAGCTCAAAGCAAAGCCGCGAGCCGTCTGGGGCGCGGGACGGGGCGCAGGACGGGGCCCGGGGCGGGCGGGGCTGACGGGCAGCGGCTCCCGGCTCCCAACGCAGACGCGTTCCCACCGGGCGTTCTCACTCAGCTTCCGCCTCGGCATCTGGGCGCCTCTCTGCGTAGACCACACCACAAACGGCGAGAACCACCAGACTGGAGACCAGCCCAGGAACCGCCCGGAGTCCCAGCGAGACCTCGCGTGGCAGGCGCTGCGGGGACGCCTTGGGGCAGGTGGTCCCTGGTCTCTGAACTCGGAGCGGCGGGATGGACGAAGCCGCCGGGCGCAGGACAGCAGGCGGGGCGGCTCCGAGGTTGGCCACCGTCTGCGCCCCCAGCACGGCGCCCCGAACGGCCCACCATCCCTCGTTCACAACCCCCGAAGAGCGCCCGGCTCCCAAAGCCCTGACCCGGCCTGGGGAGGAGTTAATTACAGCCTGCGATTCTCCCACTCAGGGTGTTCCTGGTTCTGCGACAGCAACGCTCCGTGCTGGGCGCGCCCAGAGCTCCTTTCCTGGCCCGAGACCCGCACCACGGCCCGCCAGCCGGCGCCCTGCGCTCTCCCGAAGGCCGTCCCCCTTCAGAACCAGTGAGTCCCTTACGCCGCTGCCCAGAGTAGAACACTGATGATTGTTTTTGTTGTTGTTGTCAACAGGCAATCCACGCGCATAGCACAGAACTTCAGGGCCACCGGGGAGTAAAGACAGCAAATGTCTCCCTCCTTTCCCTCGCGCTCAGCGCGGACGCCTGTCCACAGCACCGGCCGCCTGCGGTGGCTGCTTCCCGCCCCCCTGCCGAGGCCCCCACGGCCCCTGCAGAGAAACACCATCTAGACACAGAAAGCTCTCCCCCACCGCCTTCCTGGTGGCCAGACTCCCACTCCGGACATGGCCGACCCGCCATAACTTAGTCAGACTCCACGAAGCCCTTCTCGGAAACACCCCAAGAAAGAAATCCCGAAGAGCTGATGCCTGTTTACTGGGAACCCACAGACGTTACTAAGAACTAGACGCTGCCGACCCGTGGGGCTCAGGGCGCTGGGTGTCATCCTGCGAACCGAAAGGTGGCAGGTTCCGTGCGGTCTCCTGCTGGGGCGCGTGCGAGGGGCAACACCGACCAACCATCAACGTTTCTCCTTCACATCAATGTTTCTCCCCCTCTCTTTCTCCCTCCCTGGCCCTCTCTCCAGGATCAATAAAAGAGAAAAATTTTTTTTTAAAGATCTAGGTATTTTTCAGAACTGTGACTAACAGATACATTTCTGTCAACGGGAAAATGCATACTCTGAAAAACTACTTTTAAGAGCAAACAAAATAACGCAGCCATGAAAAATAGAGATTAGGGGCAGGGCTCATTTTTTTACTAGTAATTTGGTAACATTCTACAAGAGGAGACAGGAAGTGAAGTAAAGGAAAAGCCGCCGAATCACTGCGGAGAAATCCGGGTCGGGGTGGGAGCTGAGGTCAGAGCTGGACGGCCCTGTGG